ACTTCATTAAATACACAATATATTTTATCTTTTCTATATTCAGTTCATTGTATTTAAAGCTACTTAATATATCAGTATAAATCTATGCGAACAACAATTTTGCTCCATTTAATACATACATATTAAGCTTATTTTGCAATATATATTTGTCATAGTTCATGGTAACAGCTTATCATTATTGAATCAGATTACCCCTGAACAATGCACTACACTTTTGTTGTCCTAAATATAATATAATTTTGCTTGTAAGTAAAATTGTATAGAAAAGGAAAATATTTTAGTGCATTTTGTACCTTAATTAACTCAGATTATAATTAAACAGTTACCATTCTCACCAAAGGTTTTAATGACTGGAGGCTGATTAAAAATATACAATAATAATCTGTAAGTAACTAACAGTTGAAATCAATTAAAATCTTGGCTCTTTGAGAACAACTTCGTGTTGGGATGGAATTTTGGAATATACCCTAGGTCTTGTTTGGAAAAGTAATTTCCAACCAGCATTTACTTTTACAAATAATTTATTCAAATAAAAATGCTTTAGAAATTGTGTAGGGAAAACCTAGCTGTGGTTTTCTAGGCTAGCATGATTCAATATGAAAAGCTTTTACTATGAACTATGACTATATAGTGCAAAATGTTGTATTAAGTGCAGCAAAATTGTTGTTTGCATAATCATATATGTATTATATATTCCTTCAATCCTTCCTCCACAAAATAATTCAGTTTTTGTTCCATATACCAGATAAAAGAATTGAGATTGTGTTGGTAAATTTTGGAATATTACCAATACATTGTATTTGCTGTTACTTAATATAAATCTACTCTATGTAAACAACAATAGGGTATATTCCAAAATTCCATCCCAACACGAAGTTGTTCTCAAAGAGCCAAGATTTTAATTGATTTCAACTGTTAGTTACTTACAGACTATTATTGTATATTTTTAATCAGCCTCCAGTCATTAAAACCTTTGGTGAGAATGGTAACTGTTTAATTATAATCTGAGTTAATTAAGGTACAAAATGCACTAAAATATTTTCCTTTTCTATACAATTTTACTTACAAGCAAAATTATATTATATTTAGGACAACAAAAGTGTAGTGCATTGTTCAGGGGTAATCTGATTCAATAATGATAAGCTGTTACCATGAACTATGACAAATATATATTGCAAAATAAGCTTAATATGTATGTATTAAATGGAGCAAAATTGTTGTTCGCATAGATTTATACTGATATATTAAGTAGCTTTAAATACAATGAACTGAATATAGAAAAGATAAAATATATTGTGTATTTTATTATTTATAATGAAGTTGTTCTTGCATATTTTACATCATGCAGTACGTGTGCAATTCATATGAAAATTTGGAAATTCAAATTTGGATCCAAAAAGTTTTCATTTCCAACCAAACATTATTCAATTTCAATAGCAATGTAGATATTAAACGGTAGATAGCAACGCCCAAAGCTCCACTTTATAGGTTTATGAATGAGACCAAATCAACAAATTTAACTGTTTACAAACTAACCTTGTCAGTCCTTGTGTTCGTTTCATCGTTTGTATAATTATATATGTATTACATATTCCTTCCTCCACAAAATAATTCAGTTTATGTTCCATATAACAGATAAAAGAATTGAGCGTACTTGAATTAGTGGAAATGCTAAGTTTGGCTGCGAAATTTGGTAAAATACGGAAAATATAGCCATGTCAAATTAGCATATTTTGTATTACGCGCGGAAATTCTCATTCCTTGTTTTAAAGATTCCGGCTTTTCCCATTCCTTGTTTTAAAGATTCCGGCTTTTCTCATTCCTTGTTTTAAAGATTCCGGCTTTTCCCATTCCTGGTTTTAAAGATTCCGGCTTTTCTCATTCCTGGTTTTAAAGATTCCGGCTTTTCTCATTCCTTGTTTTAAAGATTCCGGCTTTTCCCATTCCTTGTTTTAAAGATTCCGGCTTTTCTCATTCCTTGTTTTAAAGATTCCGGCTTTTCCCATTCCTGGTTTTAAAGATTCCGGCTTTTCCCATTCCTGGTTTTAAAGATTCCGGCTTTTCCCATTCCTGGTTTTATTATTCCCCGTTCCCTTCCCCGTTCCCTTCCTTGATTCCCCGTTCCTGGTTTTAAAGATAGCCTTTTAAATATATTGTGTATTTAATGAAGTTGTTCTTGCATATTTTATATCATTGCAGTATGCAATTCATATGAAAATTTGGAAATTCAAATTTGGATCCAAAAAGTTTTCATTTCCAACCAAACATTATTCAATTTCAATAGCAATGTAGATATTAAACGGTAGATAGCAACGCGCAAAGCTCCACTTTGTAGGTTTATGAAAAAGACCAAATCAACAAATTTAACTGTTTACAAACTAACCTTGTCAGTGCTTGTGATCGTTTCATCGTTTGTATAATTATATATGTATTATATATTCCTTCCCCCACAAAAGAATGCAGTTTATGTTCCATATAACAGATAAAAGAATTAAGCGTACTTGAATTAGTGGAAATGCTAAGTTTGGCTGCGAAATTTGGTAAAATACGGAAAATATAGCCATGTCAAATTAGCATATTTTGTATTACGCGCGAAATTGTAACTAATTTAGTTACAAACTTTCCCATTTCTTGTTTTACAGATTCCGGCTTTTCCCATTCCTGGTTTTACAGATTCCGGCTTTTCTCATTTGTTGTTTTACAGATTCCGGCTTTTCTCATTCCTGGTTTTACAGATTCCGGCTTTTCCCATTCCTGGTTTTACAGATTCCGGCTTTTCTCATTCCTGGTTTTACAGATTCCGGCTTTTCTCAATCCTTGTTTTACAGATTCCGGCTTTTCTCATTCCTGGTTTTACAGATTCCGGCTTTTCCCATTCCTGGTTTTACAGATTCCGGCTTTTCCCATTCTTGGTTTTACCGTTCCCCGTTCCTTTCCTCATTCCTTTCCCCGATTCCCCGTTCCTTGTTTTACAGATAGCCAAATTCGCCTCGGTTTTGTTTTGTTTTTGTTTTTTTTTTTATTTTTTATTTTTTATTATTTTTCGTCGTCGCAAGTGTGTAATGGCGCGAAACATTCCAGTATTTAAAATGTGTATGTGATTGGATTTATCTATGTCCCAGTCTTGTCTCCCAAGAGTTGTGGTGCACAGCTTTGGCTAATTTTCCGATGCGCGATTCGATTTCGCTCGCATGATACGGCAATTCCTCCAAGAGGAACAAATAAACCGTTCTTTTCATGCTTTTCGATTATATTTAATACGTGTAGATTCTGGTCCTATTTTAGTAATATTGCTGCTATTTCGCCGTTTAACAAGATGATGTGGTCGTGTATGGGCGCTTTGACTCGTCGTAGTTTGCACAGGATTGAAGATTTAATATAACTATATAAGCGCGAATTCCAAAGGCAAAGTGTAAGACAAAGCGAATGTATCATACCGTTTATTTACATTCTTGAACGATTTAACTTCTATACTTTTTAAAGTACGATGTGCTTCTGAATTTCGCGATCGAACATTTAGGTTCGCAAGGCATCTAAATGCGAATATGAACTGTATTGTTTATGTTCAGAAGCTCTATATTGAAGACTGGCACGTGCGCCGGAGTTAACGCCAGAACAGGCGTCTTGTTTATGAAAAATTATATGGAAAGTCGCGAGCCTTTGGTAAGTTTTATATAATTTTAAAAAGCAAGTGTTCGATGGTTCTCACTTTTGCTTCAACGATTTTGAGGCAAAGGTATCTATTGTTTTCAGACGCTTCTTTTCTTCCTTGCTTTCCGTACTTCCGGACTCCTAAACCACGTATGCCCGACTCCCGCAAACGTCTTTTCTTTTTCATAATTTCTTCTCCCTCTCCTGCTTTTCTTTTCTGGGTTTCTGATAGGGTCTCCATTGCCTGCCTCCTTACATCATCTGCTGCCATCCTATCTACTGCTTTCCTCCTTTCGAAGTTATCATAATTTTCCTTTTCATCCGGCTCTGCAAGATCTTCTCTTTCCACTATTTCTTCCAGCATCACATCAAGCTCACTCTGTTCCGGACTGATACCGCTGGCATTTAACTCTTCTCTAACTTTTCTCTTATACTTTCCCACAAGCTTCTTGTAGTGGTCCCTCACAGAGCTCTGGTCGACACGAAAAGTTGATATGACACATAATTTATCAGCAATCGACTCCCAAACTTTGCCTCTTTCAGTGGATGATTCTCTTGGGCTGAAAAGGTTTCACACGAGTATTTCTCGGCAGAAGATTAAATCTCTATCCGATGTCCATGACATAATCGGAGGTTTCGCAACCCTATACAAATATACAAGGACAAAATGTGATCAGAAAATGCTGACTATGTAGATGTATTTAAAACGCTTTTTAGCAATACACATAAAAAGAAAACATAAAGAGATAAAGGCCTTTTATAATAATATCTCATTTTCCGGGCTAAGTTCCGTCTGTGCTTTAACGACAAGAAAATTTATAAATAAGGAAGTAAAAAACTGCCGCAGCCCGCAAGTTTATCGATATAAGAGCAAACCAAATATAAACAATGTTTATTGAATACTGATCAGATACAGATCACAAACTTCCGGTTCACCTTACTAGCTCTCCACTTCCGTTTTTTAAATTAACGAGTAGTTTTTCAGAATACATATAAGTGAATAATTATTTACTTACTTCTTGCTTGTTGAAGGTATAAGTTCAGCCATATCAACAAAAAATACAGAATCCAGATAAAAATTTACGACGCCGTGAAATCTGTAAAAGTACGTCGTCAACAAGGTGACGACGCGCTTGTTTTGCGGGATATTTATGCGCAGTCAGCAAATATTGGAAAATTTACTTCCGGTCGGCCACGTCGTCAGCGCGCGTTGTCGCATCATAGCAGATCACAACCTCGTAGATCATAGGTAGCCCAACACTCGTGTTCCGCGCGCGTACACGCTACTCAGTGATTAGCATATATATGCTAATCACTGAGTAGTGATGCTAATCACTGAGTAGCGTCTACGCGCGCGGAACACGAGTGTTGGGCTACCTATGATCGCATCTTAAGCTCGCTAGTTTGCCACTGTCGCCACGTCGCTTTAGTTTACTTTTTACGATCGATTTCTGCCTGCGAAGAATATACAGGATTTGTCTGTCATTCACCTAAAGAAGAGGGACAACATGTAAGTTTAGTTTTTAATACATGATAGTTCTACCGATTTTTTTAGATTAACTAAGGCTATTAAAGCAAGTCATTTCAACATAAGATGAATAAAGGCGTTGTATAATTTGTACTGAGAAACGAAAGTAGCAAATTTTGTTAATAAATTGCCAACTTTTAGTCATAATTTGTTGCCAAAGTTATGTTACAAGGCTGAAATATTGTTAATTTACATATACATGGACAAGAATTGGCCAAGAAATATGTGTAAGTTAGCTTTGTTTAGTCCATGATTTTGGTAGCTAGGCGAGAAATTCGCTTTTATTCAAGCGACTATGTTCAATGGCGAAGACAATTAGTTCCTTGTCGAAATATTGGTTCGTCGTCACGAGCTGCATTTACCAAAATAATAAAATATATATCAACAGACAACGATAATAGTTACGATTTCATCTTGTAATTACTCCTAAATTGTGGCTCGTTTATAGTTTCTTTTATACTTGGAAACCAAGGCCGATCGAAAGAAAGCCTTGCTTGAATAATTTATTAATTATGGTTCCCTTGTCGCACGTATTTCACTAAATACGCACTTGTTCTAGGTGAGAATTACTGAAGGGATATGGCCTTTTATAGGTCTGCTATCAATATTATATATATAGCCCTCTGCTCTTATTGTACACTGAAGAAAGAGATGACAAAGCCTTAGACTTTCGCAATATACTTGTGTTATTTTTAACATCACGGTGTTTTATTTCATAACACTGCCGTAGATTGAGTACCAGTATGCAACACATCGCACACATCGTTTTTATAATTTCAAATTGTCAATTGAACTTTTTGAATTTAAGTTTTGTGAGAAAAGACAAGGGCAAGGCATGTGTACAGAGAATTCAAGGGTTGTCCTTTCAAAACCTTTAATTCTAAGCCCAGTAATTTATAGGCAGTGGAATTGCTTTTATTTAGCTTTAAATAATTTTTTGCCTTGCAGCTAGACTAGAACAATTAAAGTTGCTGCAATAATAAAAGTTTGGCAAGCTATGAATATAAATTTTTAAGGTCTATCTCACTATAGCAGTGATGTTTTTGTTTTTTCTTTTGTGTTCAATTTTAAAAACATTTTCATTAGATTATTTTCCAACTGCATTTGCCATGACCAAATTATATTTGAAAATTATATTTGAAAATTTCCTTTGTAAACTAAGTTATGTGGGTGAGAAATGTGCATTTTGGGAATGTTGAAAATTCAGACATTTTTGTATAAACATGTCATTACAGAGAGACAGAGTAGCTAAGTTACAATGTTTTGTGTGATTGAACTACCATAGTGTTTTGCAAATGTTTTCTTGTGATTGAACTACCATAGTGTTTTGCAAATGTTTTGTGTGATTGAACTACCATAAAGAGATCATTGCGTTAATATTATAACCACCAAGAGTCAAAGTTTTAGAATGTAATGCAATGATAGATAAATATCAAACATTAAAACATCTCACCTCAATATTCAACTACTAAGCTTGAAACGAAGTGTCTGTATTTTGCTGTGTGCTCGAGCAAAGTATGATTAATAGGCCAACCCTTATTCACTTATTTAATAACTATATGCTTGCAAATGAATATGATTTTTTCATTTTTAGAATGCCACCCAGTTACTGTCAAAAACCATATCCGATAAGTAGAGGCCTTTCCCAGTATCTCTTTCGTCAAGAACCTTCAAATTATAAACCCCTTCAGTTTGATGAATCGACTGCATTGGACGTCTATAGAAAGCAAAAGGTCGATGATGACTTGAGAAAGGTTGTGCGTGCTTTATGGAAGCCTTTAGAGTTATTCCCCGAAATCAATCATTGCGCTATGCAATTCTCTGTCACCATTCAAACTGATAGAGGTATCGAAGAATTGAAGTGGGAGGTTGCCATCAGGAAGGCCCGCAGAGATCTTCATTGTGTATTCGATGCTCTCGGAATTCTTCATCAAGGTTGGTTTCGCAGTAATATTTTATTAAAGCAAGTTCAGCACATTCTTGACTCGAAAAACGGAAATGATGCAGATACTAATGAAGAAGTGAAGAAGATTCGAGAATTAAAAGATAATCTTCAAAATTTGAACAATTTCCTTGACCGTGTGCTATTGCATTATTCTGGTTTTGACAACAAACTATCATCTACTTTGATTAAAGACATCAAACGCACAACCAAAAAGATTCATGACGTTATAAAGCAGTTAAAGTCAAACCTGTTCGAAAGTGTGATTCCTCCAAGCATGGTAACCGAGGAAGATGTTCTGTGCTCTGTACTTGGCTTGAATGATGATTTTGCCAAGAGACTTCAAAGTTTGAGTGAGGGAATGAGACAGCACAAAAGTGACATGTACTATTTGAAATATTTCTTGGGAGAATTCGAGTCTCGTGACGTAAACCTGCATGATATAGAGGCAGTGCAGCGTGGTTTGCAGCAAATGGGCTTTATTGAAAATCGATCTTGTGTTATAGCTAAATGGATTGCTGAAAAATCTTTTCCTGAACACCGGTCTCTTTTAGCTTGGGCTCAAATTTACATCGAAAACTTGTTCAAATACGATATTTTTTTAAATGATCAAGTTCGCAAATTTCCATTCGAGGAACGGTGTTTGAATAAATGGTTTTCGTGGAATGTAGAAATGAATTGTAAAAGTCAGGATGGTCCAGATGAACCTCAAGTTTTCGTAATCAACACTACTGAGAAGGAAGAAGCTACCAGAGTCGCAGAGGCCAAATTGAAGGAAAGTAACCCAAACGAACAGCTTTTTTTCCATGGCACTGATCATAAGAGTGTCGAAAATATCCTTAAATGTGGCATCAGGCTGGGAAACGGGAAACAATGTGATTTTTCCAACGGATTTGGATTTTATCTTGCAGATGATTTTAAGTACGCTCTAGAGGAACACGCGATGAAAAGCAATTTTGCAGCTGTAATAATGTTCAACCTCGGTGATAGTTGTCGAAAGAAATGTCTTGATTTATCTTGTCCTGAGAGGCGCAAAGACTTGAAATCTGTGAGGGATTATTTCCAAGCCGGTGAACCACGAAGGCATGGACTTGATCAGAAACTTTATCAGGAAATGAAGAATTCCTATTGTATTTTTGGTCCAGTAAGCAGAGATGGAAGAGATAGCAAGAGTAAGAACAAATGGGAGAATGTGATGCAAATTTGTATCAGAAATAAAGAATTGGCGGAAGAAATCGGAAGTCTTTCACACATAGTAGGTATTATATTTTTGAATAGTGAGGTGCCCACATAGCATGTGGGTGACTTAATGGATAAGTTGTGGTGCAAGTTGTGACTTCAGTGACTGGTATAGGTATGACTGATTTCCTTTTGAATTTCCCACCAATCATGCTATCATGAAAGATATTTCAAGGTTTTTATTTATTAAAAGCATAGAGGAGTTTGGCAAAATTGAAAGGGACCAACTTTTTACCTTGCGCCCAGTGTGTTAAGGGTATGGTAAAAAATCATAGACATTCTATTTTTGCTTTAAACATGTAGCTTTAGATATGAAAAAGCACAAAGTGGTTAAGCCTCCATGAATTTATAATTCCGGATCTATAAGCCAGGCAAGTGCTTCTAAGAAAAAATGATTTCAGAAATAGGGTATTGTAAAACTTTTATTTGTGGGTGTGGTAATTAAGACATAAAAGCCAACTCTTGTTCCTTCCTAAATGCTTTAATAATTGAAAGTCACCATTCTTAGTATACGTTATAACATATTGATTATTGTTTATTAAGATATATCTGATTGATATTAACTTTTAGCTGTAATGATAACCTTTAATTGTAATGATAATAACCTTTAATTTAAATTAATATTATGCAATATGAATTACTGATAATACTAGTCACAGTATATAATAACGGATGGTATATATAAATTGGATGTTGCTTGTTAAGTCTGCTTGTTCTGTTACTACTTCAGTCGGCAGAATCTACTACAAGTTTAATAGTGATGTTGTATCATATTAGCCATTAGGCAATCCAGTAATAGCTAGTGAAATTAAAATTTTAACAAAAGTGTGTCTGCCATTTTATGGTTGAATTTGTCAGCTTGTATACAGGGTGTATCAAAAAAACTGCAACCAAAAGCCATACATGTTCACTTCTATTCAATAACAAAAGATTGTAGGCCCCTGGGAATTATTAAGATTGCAGGAGTTTTTACAAACCTAATTATAAAAATTGCTAAGAAAAGTGTTTCAATAAAATAGCAGTCCAGTTGCTAAACACGTGCAGTGTATTGGGCTGATGTCACTCACTGGGTGGTGATTGGCAGTCCAGTTGTTAAAAGAGTTCCGTTACCAGGCCTTCAAGCACGAGCGGGCAGAAAAGCGGTCTTATGCATGAATTTTGCTCGCTTCGTCATCAAATCCCAGTCATCTGATTGGCTGCCCCTCTTTTTGCGCGATCTGTGGGGGGTTTTGATCGGTGAAGTGATCAGGGGCTCGAATCGGGCTTTTCAATAGGCTAATTCAAAATCTATCTGAATTCTCATTGGTTGTATTTTTCTGATCGATCAGTGTGATCTGACCTTGACCTGAGAGCGTGCAAACAGCAAGGTTCCTTGGCCTTTCTGATTGACGTCATCGTAGTTTTGACAGCAACGAAAACTCGAACGATTATTAAACTCGAAAGAAAAAATTTATTATCAAAACTATTTATTAATTTACAACGCCGTGAGATGTGCTTTGGAGAAAGACGATCGGCTATATCTTAAAACTATCGAGGCTGATCTGAAGAAGCGAATAGACGCCACAGCAAAGCGTTCAACTGAGCAATTTTTAAACGAACTGAGCAACACCAGCTTCTGCCTCGATCGCGAGAAATTTTGCTGCGGAATCGTACATCCCGATGTCTGTTCGGAAGACAACAAAGAAGTTTTGTACGGCCCTAAGGTAAACATAACAACATTTTACAAAGATTTCGTGCATTTGTTTATTGGTTATTGTGTAATTTGTGTTAGAACTGTCAAGCTGCACAAGCTATAAAGTTGAAATTTACACGTTGCACGTTGAAATTTACATAGGATTTCGCTTTAATTTGCATATAACTGCGGCGTATGCATACGCATCAAAAAGAATCGAGCAGTGTAATAATGTATTATGTGAACTTTGTAACACCTTCTGTGATATGTACAACCCGATGTATTAAGGCAAAGCTTAGAGCACTGAACTGTGTTTTAATTTCAAAAATAATTATTCAAAACGCATTTCAGTAAAGCATAAAAGGGGCCATATTTCCTGCATGATTACATTTTAAACGATGAACACTAGTTTATTATATAACAATTCTATAATTACATTGCCAATTATTCACACTTAATGGTTCATGAAAGTGGAACATGATGTTTTTGCTATCAGGTTTATCAATTACTAGGTTAATATTTATTCATCTTTACCTAAGTGACTGACTAAAATTTACTAAGACAGTAATAAAACCAAGTTTCATTCATGTCTTAGTCTCTCTTAGATCTGACACTACTGGAAACTGCTTGTATAGCTATGTGTGCTTTGTAGAAGTGAGTAACAATAGCCTACTGGAGCTTTTGAGAATTTTGACCCCCAAAGTATCAATAACCTTATATCAATGTTTGTTTCTAAGGGATGTTTAGATACTGGTTGTATGAAATATGACTTGGTTAGACAGGAAGCTATACTTAATTGCAGTGAGAAGAAATGGTCATCCTTTCTCTGTATAATGGGTCTTATTTGCTTCAGTTTTAAATAGGAATACTATCGCCTATGATCCTGATTGTGGGGAACAAAGAAGTAAATTGTTATTTAATTGCATGATTCAACCACACTTAACTCCAAGGGAAGGTTTGGATGATCTTAATATCTTGTTTTGTTATACATGTGAGAAACACCAAAATATTCAATCGAATTAGCATATTTGTGTTTGCACTTTACTTATGTAAATTTAATCAAGTATGGTTACTTCCAATATTTATTAAAGTGTATATGAAATGAAAATTTCGATATCGGGTTTTTTGCATTTTCTAAAAATTTCGTCTTTTCCGATCATAAATATACCAACTTTGTCGAAAAATTCGAACTAGAAGTTTGTGAAATTTACGATTAAAGTTCGATTTTGAGACTATTTACTGGCGAAAGACTGGTATCTAGAATTTTGGCCCTTGTGACGTATGCAGTGTGACCAAGTGTGACACGTCGACGTGTTTTAGTATAGCAAAATAACAAAGATCACGCAATCACGCAAAGCTTTTTTAATATTGTGCGTAAAAAATGTCTGATAACGAAAGTTTCGAGTCACAGACGGAGACAGAAGGGTCATCAGATAATGAGGACATCGCTGAGCAATCGTCTGTTGTTCAGCCTTACCAATTTGAGCCACTGGCAGATAGCGAATATGAGGAAGACGAAACGGACGAAGACGGTATTCTGCGCGAAACGTTTGAATCGAGATTTAAGGGAGATTTACCTGTTAACTCATGGTAAGTAATTTCATGAAACTAATATTATTTTAGGCTGTTTAACCACAACCTTTTCCTCTTATTCGTCTGTATATTTTAAGGTGCACATGCGGACATTGTAGAGTAGAGTTGTTACAGGACGCCAGAGAATATCGTTGTTGCAAAGAAATTCTCGAGTGCATGGGCAAGTTTACGAATGAGGGCAAGGACGCAGCATGCATAACACAACATTGGGACTATGCTGTGGTCACACACCGGACAGTGTTAGAGACTGCAGGAGCTTTTCTCTCCGACAAGTCGGGGAAAAAATATCATAAGCCAACAAGCAGGACACAAGATCGGCAAAATGAGTATGTACATATTTGTACAACATTGCTATTTATGTTCTCATGTGTACAAATTAGTACTAATAGGTCGAAATACAGAGTCTTTTATCGATTTCGGCTATACACAACAAAAGTATGTAACGCACGCGTGAAATTAACGACTCATTTCTTGATTATTTAGGTATTTACGAGCGGTGGCATATAGATGGGTGGTGAGATGGATATTTGGCATGCTGGGGTGGGACAATTCTAGACCGCTTCCAGCCTGCCTGTATCATGAAATAAGGAAAAGATTTTCATCTTCAAGTACCACCGGATACAAAGAATCGACGCAGAGAACTTAATGTAAACGCAGAGAACTTGATGTTTTGAAAGGGAGAAATAATTGTCTGCACTTTGAGTTTCCTAAATGTGATATTAGTAAACTCCCATAATAGATACACGGGCACACATTAAAAGGAAAAATACAGTGAATTTATTACTTTAATTTCTCATAATCAGGTATGTTATATTATACAATATGCCAATATGAATGTATATATTCTTTATTTACTAACTATTTTGTTGTTGACCAGCTGTATTTGATTCACATATGCTTTTTTGATGCCCTTTCATTGGTTGTCCACATTTTCTGCAACAAGGTGCCTTGCGGTTTTGCTTGCTAGCAGATTTTGACATTTCTTTCTGTTGGTCTTGGTGTTGAATATCACCTAAACAAATAAAAAATACAGGATACTATAAAGTACAAGATACTATAAAGCTTACATGTACACAATTATGTGATAAAAGCAAACCAATTAAGTACTAACCTGAAGGAAACAACTCAGTTAGTTTTTCTCAGTGTCGCTGGTAATTCTTCGAGAACAACCGAATCTTTTGTTGGTACAGACCCTTCTAATAGATATCTGGCCTTTGGTTTCAGCTCGTCCGGGACGTCAATGTGATATCGTGTTCCGAAGCAAGATTTCTCAAAGTGTGCTGAGCATATTACTGAAGAACTCGTAGGAGTAAAATTCGGCCGATGTTTTCGCACGAATTTTACCCACATTTTCTTCTGTTCTTCATTTGCGGGAAACTTATGCATCGATATCCCCTCAACGTGATATGTATTCATGCAACTGCGCAATCCAGGAGCTCCGCAGACGCAAAATTTCCCCCTCTTTGCTCTCTTCGTGCTGGAAGCCATGCTTGTTGAATTCAAAATGCTTAGTAAATCATAACGCACTCCTTTTATAGGGCAAGATTGTACCGATTGCGTGCGAGTGCAGGTTTGAATTTTGTGACGTGAGGGAAATGCGGTAGCCAAGCCTAGATGCACTGTGTCACTGTGTCTGTCGCGCAAAGCAAGCACGCAATTCTAGCTGATGTTTTCTAAGTAGAGGTGAGAAAATACTAATCAAATTCCGGTTTATTTTAAGTGCAAAAACACGCAATGTGAGCATCACGAGTGATTGTGAGTGAACGCAAATAATATGATAAGTATATCGCGTTTGAAGCAGCTACAAATTCCATAACATTAATTGTCGTATACCATGCACGCTTATGCGGTGTAATGTCAATATGGTATGATGTCAGTAATATGTAGATAGATAGCCTATATATTCAGTCCTAATGTAGATATTTCGTATTAATTGTAGGAATGCAATTTTCTAGTATTAGTTACTACTCTACATTGTTGACAATAGTTGATATCACTTTTACATAATATGCGGTATGTATGCGGTACGTCTGAAACCTCAAGATGCGGTATATAGGCAATATAGCTAGTCTTTCGCGCATAAAAAGTGTATTTTAGGCTGCTACGATTCTTCGTGTTGTTATTATATTCTGTCAATAAATCAAAATTCGTGACTACAAAAAGCAGATTCGTCAAAATCGCTCCGGAATCCCAATTCTACATAGACGCAACTATATAACATCGTAGTAATACATATCAAAAGATCGAGCTGTGTCACACTGCCTACGTCATTGGCCGCGCGATGGAATGTTAGGAATTTCGCCAGTAAATAGTCTCAAAATCGAACTTTAATCGTAAATTTCACAAACTTCTAGTTCGAATTTTTCGACAAAGTTGGTATATTTATGATCGGAAAAGATGAAATTTTAAGAAAATGCAAAAAACCCGATATCGAAATTTTCATTTCATATACACTTTAAAGCATCATTTGCTACTACATTCACTAATGTCTACACCAGCGCAAAGGCGGGTGCTGGGCCGCTGCTGGTGCAACAAAAAAATCTGCATGTGCTCTTATGTGAAAATTCCTTCCATGTCAGAATATCAAAATGAATGAGGAAGAATGTCAAACAATATTTTTGTAGTGTCATGTGTTTCCTAGGCATGCTGATGAGCCCTGATATTTGGCGAAACAGTCACATTACATCTGTACCCCCCCTGACAAATGCGACGTCCCCCCCCCGAATTTCTTGACTGAAACTTTTTGACTAAGGTACGAAAAATCCTAGATCCGCCCCTGATGCTGTTAGTATAAGGCTGGCCGTTTAATGTTATGAAGTATTCCAAAGAGGGAACAGTAATCAAACTACGTGTTGCACCAGAGAATTATACGTATCATACCTGCAATTCCAGCCCCAAGTTCCAACTTTCGCGCAGATCTTTTCTATAGACCCAGGGGGTGAATATTCATGTATTCAGTTCCACCCGCCGGAATTCTTTTGTAAGCTATTGCACTGGGTTTATGAATAATCCTTCCCCCCTCCCCGCTCTAGATACGCCACTGAAATTTTTGGAGGGCAAATATTTCAAATAAATCACTTAATTAATCGGAAATTAAACGAGACTTACCTGGAAGTCGATGTTTGATTGGGATTCTGCCAAGTCATCAGGAGCACAAGAAGTCACATGAGATAGCACTATCCACCCGAGCACTCAGTCTTGGAAGCAATGAGTGTGCAATCAGAAGAATTATAGTGATGTTCCTCTGACCTGTCGTTCTGGCTGGACCTAACATCAGGTAAGCTGGTCCCTAACATTCTAAATGTGCTTAATAGAGTAACATGATATGTAAGAAGATGAGTTGAATCCATGCAAAACAAGTCAAACCAGCATGGGCGGGCCGCCCTACGGCTACTGTAAGGAGAGTAATGGGGATGGGCGTGACTTCTTGTGCTCCTGATGACTTGGTAGAATCCCAATCAAACATCGACTTCCAGGTAAGTCTCGTTTAATTTCCGATTCTGCCACGTCATCATACACACTGCGAAGTCACATGAGATGTTCAAAGGAACTGATTGCATACGAAGTTCACATAAAGGATATTGATTTAATGATAACTCATATCTATTTTAACACACTAATGGATAAAGGTTCCACACTTTCGATAGGCTTGTCATAGAACTTCGCAAATGTTGTCGCTGACTTCCATCCCGCAGCCTGCATAATGTCTGCAACACACGCATTGTTAAGTTTAGCTTTCGAAGTCGCTGCCGATCGCACACTATGTGGCTTGAACACGGACACATCTATTCCCGCATTGTTCATGATCTGTTGAATCCATCGTCTTATTGTATCTCTGCTGGCTTTCTTATGAGGCTTTTGATGAGTAATAAATAGTTGAGTTTCATCCCTCCGTAACATCTTGGTTTTCTCTAAGTATACTAAGCATGTGTGGACAACACAAAGTTTCTCATTAGGAGGGTAAGCTGTCAACTTTATTTTCAATTCTGACGACGACCGCCCTGGTTTTGTCTGTTTGATAGGACTAGCAAGCATAAAGGTGAGGGAATCTGTTTCCTTCACCATACCAGCTATATCCATAAGTTGTAACGACTGTCCCCGTTGGGCTGTGGTTAACGCTACCAGGATTGCAAGCTTAAGAGTAAGTTCCTTAAGCGTAAGTGCCTGCGAGCCTTTCAGGGATAATAAATATTGAAGCATTGTTTGAACGTCCCAAGTCTTGTTATAGCGCGGTAGTAAAGGTCTACATTGAAATATACCCTTCATAAACCGTTTCACGTCCGCATGGTTGCCAAATGTACAATTGCTGCAATTCGAAATATTCAAAATCGCCGATAAAGCACACCTGGCTGAATTTATGCTGCTGTAACTGAGTCCCCGCTCGTAAAGCTCGGTTAAAAAATCTACTGCTGTATGGACAGGGGAACAAATGGGATGAATCTCCCTTTTAGAACAGAATAAGAGCCACCTACCAAGGTATGTTCCGTATTGTTTATGCGAGGATTCTCGCCAGGAGCTGAGGATGATGTCTGTTGCCTTTGGAAAAAACCCTCTGTCTTTGTAGACTCTCCGCATAAGCAACATGCTAACAGACTCAGTTTCTTTCGAAGAGGATGTAGCTTTAGCGTCACCGGCATTTTCAGTAAGTTGTTCATCGGTGGTATTACCGCTGGGTAGTCCACTAGAAGTCTGAGTAGCTTGGGATACCAACTTTGACTTGGCCAGAATGGTACAATCATGATTCCTTCGGCATTGTTCTGTTGTATTTTCTCTAAACAGCGTCCAATCAAACTAAATGGAGGACATGCATAGAAGAAAAATTTACTCCAGCTGATCGAAAACGCATTGACAAATTGGGCATCTGGATCAGGCCGCCATGATGCAAAAGCTGAGCATTGTGTATTTAAACGCGAAGCAAACAAGTCGACGTCTGGCTGTCCAAATTTCCCCGTTATGAGTTTGAACACTTCAGGATCGAGCATCCATTCAGTTCGGTCGTTGAACAGACGTGATTCCAAATCTGCCTCTATGTTTGGGCATCCGGGGATGTGTGTGGCACTTAACCATGTATTATGTTCTATGCAATACTTCCAGATTTGCTTAGTAACGGGGTTACACTCTTTGGACTTTGTTCCCCCCATATTATTTATGTAGCAAACTGCTGTTGTGTTATCACACTGTACCTGGATGTGTGAGTGTTGGCAATCTGCGCATAATGCTTTCAAAGTGAAAAGAATTGCTAATAATTCTAAATAGTTAATATGATAGTTAAGCTCAGCTGGGGTCCACCGTCCCCCCGTCCTCAAATCATGGCGAACACCTCCCCATCCATGCGATGATGCATCAGTTTGGATAACAACTGCAGGGTCGCCATGCGAGATGGTCTTGACGGAGGACTCAACATTTTGAAGCCACCAAGTCAAATCCGATAGAGACTCGGAAGACAAGGTCATTCGCGCATCATATTTCCCTTGGTTCTTCTGTAAAGCAATAGTTTTATCAAGTTCGAGATTTCTATAGTATAGAGGCCCGTACTCGACCCCCGGGAAACTAGAGACCAAGTACCCTATTACCTCTGCAAGACTGTGAATGATAATGTGCTTCTCGTTAATTAAAACTCGCACTTTTGCTTAATTTTCAGAGCTCGTTGCTGTGTAAGCGTGACAGTCATATCAACTGAATTCAATTCAAAGCCCAAATAGGTCATATTTTGTGTTGGGATAAGTACTGATTTCTCTTCATGAGGGAAAAACCCCAAATGTTTTAGATGACAGTTAGTAAAATCTACATTTTCCTTGCATTCATCGTATGTGTCTCCCTGCAGGTAACAGGCATCAATATATGACGATGACAGATACCCTCTTTCCCTCAAGGGCTGAAAAGCAGGTTTCATGATTTTCGTAAAGATTCTAGGGGGTGATGATAGGCCCATAGGCAAGCAAGTATATTGATACAATTTATCTCTCCAGAGGAACTTTATATACTTCTGATGCTCTAATGCAATTGGTATACTATAATAAGCATCCCTTATATCTATTGAGGCCATATAACAATTTGGAGTCATCATATTAATGACTGATTGAAGTGTATCCATTTTGAAATGTTCGTATACAACAAAGCTATTAAGCTCTTTTAGATTGATAATCATTCTGTAATCAACACCATTTTTCTTCAGTCGTAAAAAAATAGGTGATATAAACTCTCCTTCTTCATGTTGAGAGTGTACGATGACTCCTTTGCCAAGGAGCTTCTCAATTTCTTTATCTATGATAATTGACTCTTTATCATTAAAGTGAATGCCCGGTCGACGGTTTGTCTGAACGGGTAACACATGATTAATAAATTTGATGTGACAGTGTGCAACCCAATCTAAAATATCTGAATCATTTGATATTTCACGCCACGCGTCAAGACAATTTCTTAAATTACCTGCCTGAAACCCAGAGGTATTGATACTAACCTCATTTGAAGGATTATTAGGTTGTTTTGGCTCTTCCCCTCGACTCTTTCGCGTGAGTATGGGAGGCCGGGCCGTTTCCAGTTTAAATGTTTATTGGCTTGGTTTGAGCTGTGAGGTCCGTTCCTGTATCCAAGCCCATAAGCTCTCTTTTGTCCTGGTTTGTAGTTTCTCTGCCGGTTGAACTCGGGTTTATAGCCGCGTCTTGCAATCTTTTTGCTGACCTTGGTTGCTTCAGTGAGATCCTTGAGTTGTTTGGACAACTCCCCATCGTTACCAAACAAAAACTCCGTGAACGGAACTGTGGGAGAGCATAGGTGTTTATAATCATCGTGCTTGATGTTGTCTCGCCTTCGCATATTCAGCTCAAAATTGGCGGCACCAAGCAAAGCGATAGCATCCGTGCCAGCTCTCAAAAGGTCCTCGACATTTAATGTTTCTTGAGGAATTTTCTCGCGTGCATTAATGACCGCTTGAATTACATTGACAACGGGTATTACACCCTTGACAATGTGGGCTTGAACACGTTGTAGTTTTATATTGCCTGAGCGAGTGTCAGGTTTCAGTTTGTCCCAGATAAGATGGTTGACTTTCGTTGTGGCCAAACTATCACAGTTCTCCGGAATAAGATGGCGTTTCTGTGTCTGAGCCAACACGTCATCGTCAAGTTTTTCCCGCATCAAGCTTTGCACTATTTTAGCTAGTTGCTCATTAACTGCTGGACTCTTCTGTTGTTCGAGTTTTAGATCATTAGCAATGCCTGAGAGGACATGCAAATCATCGTTGTTGGTATTGATCTGTGTTTCTTTCCCACTAACCTGAGAGTTCTGATTTATCAGAACGTCGATATCGTTCTCAGTTGGTTCAGTGGTCCCAGATTGTTGGGGCAATTCCACTGCATCGACTCTGGCACGTTTAGACGACGGCTCGCCAGTGTCAAACTTCTCGATATCCAAGAGCTCGCCGCCGTCGTCGACACCCATTTGCCCCAAAGTATTCTGCATTTCGGCAAATGAATTTGTCATAGTTGTTTTCAACGACGATAACGAAGCTGCTAAAAGGTCACTCATTGAGCTTATTGCCGTTACGATGGCTGTATTGTTGGTTTGCATAACTGACGGATCATTGACATCTTGGTTTTGCTTGTCAGTCATTTTTGTAACACAAAATTAATGAATCCGCACACTCCGAGCAAGGAGAAGCGCACTGAGTGCTCGGGCGGATAGTGCTATCTCATGTGACTTCGCAGTGTGTATGATGACGTGGCAGAATTTACAACACGCTAAAGAAAGAAATTGGAGATTACGAAAGAAGTATAGCTTTTTAAAGCCCACACACACTGGAGGCTATTCGCTAACGCGACGCGAATTTTTCATATAGCATTGTCAAAATTAGCGGCTTTTGAAAACTAAAAAATGCGTAAAAATCGTGTTGCGTTGGCAGATCGCGTCCGGTGTGTGTCGGCCTTTAAGATGAGTCCAGTGGCGTAACTACGGTAGAACAATAATGCAGCCTCGTACCCAGGTACTTTAATAGTGAAAAAAATAATGTTGCATTCAGTTATTGTATAGAGGTCAGCTGAAAAAAAAACGCGAACGCGCGGTGTACACCCCTGCGCATAGAGATTATAAATATTATAACACTAGAGTAGAAAGGGCATTTGTATCGAAAACATCAGTTGAAAAAGGGAGCGCGATAAATGAGGTTATTCAATAACCAAAGTTAATAGCGAGGAAACCACGCGTGATCCGGAAGTCACCTTCCTGTCGAGGTGCGCTGCGTCAGCCCAAGTGCTATATTACGTGCTCGCTCCCTTTGTGGTCATTAGTTGCTCGGCACGCAAAGTGTAACAAGCTTAACAAAAAGTTTAAATAGTTATATCGAAAGAACCGAAACTTCGTCTTAATGGATTCACACACGGCTGATGCGTCTTTGGTAGAATCTTCTACCCCAGCTGCCATGGGGACCAACATCGACTGGAGCGCTGCCTTTCAGTCGCCCGAGTTCCTGTCAGGGCTTCAGAACGCCATGGCTAACCTTGCATCCACGTCGTCCCATTTCTCTACGACGCTTGGGCCGCTTGTTTGACAGGCTTTTTTGGCTTTCCCCGGTTTGATACTAATCTCAATTTGTCCTTGAACGACATGAACAAACAGAACAAAATTTTGCAAATTATCATTGGATTATCACCTAATTGCGCCATATTGCCTGTATTAGCAAGATTCAGATTTGACTACTACTACGTTTTGACTACCTCTGCTATTAACGCTACCTTCGTCTCCGACTAAAAATCGTCTCCGAATACCTTAACCGAAGACAATACCTTGGCGTTTTGAGGGGCTACTTGAATGCAGATTTTGGCGAGAGAATGATATTGACATTGAAATTCATTGTGATAATGCACGAGCCGGATCGTCCATGTTCTCTTTCATGGACTGTAGCATGGTGTTTTTGGACATACGCATGCGCGCAATTTGAACGAGAATAAACTGGTAATCAGCATTTCGCAAACTATATGATAAAAACTAAAAACATTTTACAAGATAAAGATGGTAAAGTGATTATGGCGCTTGCAGATTTTTTTATACACACTGCAGTTCTGGGTTTTTGGTTTCACTCAGGCATTCTGCTGGCAACGCATGGTCGTTATAATTGTTCATGTGTACAGCCGGAAACAAAATACAATTTTTTAATACAATTATGAATTTATCTAGTTAGCTTTCATATAGCATTGAGTTATCTTGCTGGGGGTCAAAGTACTAGAAAACGATTTAAACCGAGTAGCTCAGCGAGCTAGATTCCGACGAATCATTGTCTTAAGTAGTTTAAGTAAGCATCAACAATTGGACATAAAGAAGAACATAGAGTTGCGGGAATGACGTAGCAATTCACTTGCCTATTTTTACTTTTCCTTGAAAAACTCTTAACTCCCTTTTCATGGACCAACAATGATAAAAGCAAAAATTGATTGGTTAGCGAAAATAACGTTACAGGAAGTAAGTTAAAGAGTTTTTCAAGGAATTTTATAAAATATTTGATGAACTATGTAAGCCAACTGATAAATTTGAGCAAACGAATTGTTCGATATTTTTCGGAATGTTTCTAATTCCGCGACTGCATGTAAGTTCGTTAAATTGGCATTGCAATACTAAGGTATTTCTGAATATTTAAGGCTAGTCCTGTTTAAAATAGACTGCTCCTATACACTATGTCACTAGAACCTAATATTTATGCAATTTACATCCAATCCAGACTCGCTTCCAGACCTGGGTTTTGATTTTTAAAGTACCTATATATATCATGGTTGCGGATTTTGAATATATCAAAAGTTTAAGGTATTTTAAAAACTTTGCAATACATTTTGTTACTCGGAAAAAATTGTCTTTTATTTATTGGACTTTAAAGTTACCGGACACGACGTCAAATCGGGAATTTCGTGCAAAAAAGTGTATGGTGTATTGTAATATTAATTTTAGAATTATTATAGAATTACGTATACTTGTTGCCATGTTGACAATATTAAACTATGTGATACCAGAACCATGATCTCTGAATCACGTTCTTTTCCATTATTTTGCAAAAAAAAATTGCTGATAGCGTTTGTTTGTTTTGGATTTCTTTTTACTTTGACGAATAGGGGGACACACACAGAAACTCCCTTTCCGCTTATAGGTAGTGTGACGTCATCGGCCCATATCAGGACATTCCGCACCAATGCGGACCAAGCGAATACCCTGGAAACGATGTTGATTGTCAGAAATTAGACATTTTGAGACAAGAGGTAATTTTATTTATGGAAACCACATGTATAGGAAGCAACTATGATTCCAAGATAATACAGCGTGTGTCAGTTACTGCTAAAGTCCACTGTTCTCAAACAAATGGTAAATTTAAATCAACGTGCAGTTACGACGATTAACAAGTATCATACGATGTGTGATACAAGCGATACAAATTGATGCGCAAAATATTGAGGCAAGACTATGATACTAGAATATGTGTCATTTCTTCCTACACTTTAAGCTAAAGTCCACAGTTCCTAAACAACTATAATGGATAAAGTCAGCACGTCGTTAGGACGATCAACAATTATAATTGTGTGTAGGAACAAAATTCGATTTTTATCCCACTTTCAAAAGTTTTTCCACCGTCGGGAAATACTCCAGCACGTTTGTCTTCGTTTCCAGTGTTCTCGGTGTCCCACTGCAAGTATCCAGTATGAGGTCCAAGATGACCGCTTTGAGCTTTGGGACATGTTCCTTTGTATCGCATTAGAATCATTTCAGAGAATTGGGGTAGACCTGACAGCTGGTTTGATGAAGAGTACCCTTGCACATTACGACAGCAAAAGTATATCTTGGTGTTTGAACCGTAAACCCCATCCGGAAGAACCCCACTGCGCCTGTTCTCATTCTGCGAATCTTCGTCATCCCAGTAAATATATCCTGTGTATCAAGGAGGAAAAACATTTCAAACGTGTTGCTATTAATACCACGATAAAGTTCGGATATATTTGGGGCGGTTCAGCCAAGTTCATTTAGGTGAGGATAAATCTATTTGGATCTTTGGCACTTCACTCGATGTAAGTAAACTTTAGTTGTTGAAAGGGTCTTAATTTCGAGTGGAATTATACACACTTCAAATTCAAGCCAGGAACAGTGAGTCAAAATGAGTCAACTATTGGTCCTCCGGCAGGAATCGAAGCAACGCTTTTGCGATGCAGTGGCAAGAGCATTGCACCAGCATCGCAAAAGCGTTGGCGTTCGATTCCTGCCCGGCGGAGGACCGATAGTTGCCTCATTTTTCCATCAACTGTTCCTGGCTTGAATTTGAAGTGCATATAATTCCACTCGAAATTAAGACCCTTTAAACCCTACAGTGGTCAGTGGACAAGCCAAGAATAAACACCACTTTTATATAAGTTAGTGTGAACTATTGAACGTAAATCTAATACGCCGTAAACACTATTGATTCACTACCATTGCGGTTGGGTGTTTTTGGATACAAATCATTCCGTCAAAGCAAACCGCCAAACCGCCCTATGTTAATATTTCGCATAATTATTATATCCATAATTACGTATATTTATCACTGATATTTATGCTGAATTATCGTAGCTAATGTAAATTAAAGATGGCGGACAAAAACCTACTGATCAGAAATAATTCAGAATGCTGATCAGTGACCACAGTGAACTCTATATATTGCCACTTCTCTTGGAAGATTTTAACTTCAGTGATTTTAAATTTTATTTGAAGCCTTCAGGAATGACGGAGTCTGATAGCTGTTCCTAGACTTCGATCAATCTTGTTCAGTCAAGCGTGCATAAGTCATAATACGGAAAAATGGAATCCTGCTTCGCTGTCGACATAATAACGCAGTATTTATTGTGTGAAAAATGAAAATTACCTACACAAAGACAAGCCATAACTTTTAGAGTGTGGAGTACATAATTAACACTTGATCTCCTCTGGTACCAAGGTACGCCGAATGATGTTTTTGATTGTATTAAATTCGTTTTATGTGTTCTTATTTATTCACAAAATGCACGAGAAGCGAAATAAAATATAGTCATAGTCATTTCTCTTACCACGGCTTTAACTACTTACGCAGAAATTACTCGCTTTTATGTAGAAACCTGTTAAAAATCTATACAGAGTGATATGTTTTTCGTAGATAGGCGAAAAGGTTTTTAACCATTTATGTTGCATCAAAGCAAGGTCATGGGAGAAATAATCAATTTCAAGCCAAATAACAATTTATGTAAACAAACGGTTGTAAAAAACGCGAAAATCCATTGGCGGCCAGAACTGATCTCGCTGACCTCGCGCGACGCTCATGTTGTCTGAACAGTCTTATATTATGACAAGGTAGGCAACTCTCACGCCAAATAAGCTAAAAACGCACGCCGGTTAACTCGAACACCTTCACAAAACCGCAAATATTTCATAGAAATATGGCGAATAAGAAAAAAAGTACAACACATTAAACTTGAATAATTTTACTATATTTATACTATATTTTTAGCATTCAAATATATTCCTACGCATGTATGAAACGTGAATGTTTTTTAGGTTTGTGGCAAATATATTTCAAAATTCATGCTGGGGACACCTAGCCTATACCTTCGTCATATTTTTTGAATTGAAAATAGAAAGCTGATTGGCTGTCGTTTTTTCAGTTGGAAAAAGAGCCAATAGACCTTTCTTAAAATGACGTCAAACGCGGAAGGTCTGATGTACGCAAAATTTGAGTGGCTCCTCAAAACTATCGAGCCAATCAAACTTTGTGTAACATGAGACAATCCGCGTTTGACGTCATTATGAAAAAGGTCGATTGTTACAACAATTCATCAATTTATTAATGCGTTATATTTTTACACTACGACCCCAGGTGTAGGCCTCACTTTGGATTCTTTTACGGTTAACACAACTCAGCGTGGCCTGGTCCAGGAAATCTGGACCACCTTTTCTGATTGGCTTACATTTTTTAGCCTACACTCTGCTGAGCTACAAAAATCTAGTCCAAAGCTGGGCCTTGTAGCGTAAACATGTCTTTTGACAAAAACATCCATACACAGGGAATGCACTATTACTAATAGTACACTCACTGTGTAGAAACTAGAAATAGACCAGCTATTTTGCAGTTATTCCGCAAAGTCAGGTTTACATAAGAAGAAACTTATCCTAAACATCCTATACCTTCACCTGACTGCCAGAGCCAAACTCAATTGTTTCCTGGTTGAAAAGTTTGTTCTTTAAGCCCCGTTTACACTACACTGAATTTATCGGCACGGCACGGCTAAAATGGGCACCCGTACCAAATTTTATTAGTGTTCAGGCTACCAAAACAAAGGCCGAGTACAGATGAAATGGGTACGGGTGCCCATTTTAGCCTTGCCGTGCCAATAAATTGAGTATAGTGTAAACGGGCTTTATAAACAAGAAACCTCCATAAAACGCAGTCAAAAGCTGGTTTATTGGCACCGGAATTTGAAATAGTCTCATCATGTTTATGCTCTCACAGTATGTGCTTACTTTAATTATTATTCAATTACTCGACACATGCCACTCTCCAAAAATGAAAGAGCGGTTTGCTAGATGGAAAACAGTGCTAACCCTTACCTGAAGCAAAATTTCTAGGACACGTGCCACCATATCTGAAGATGCAATACGATCCAGAAGGCCACTGTTTTCCTGTTCGAGGATAATTTTCTTGAGTTTTGCAGCAAAATCCCCAGCGAGGATTATTGCATAAGTCATAGTTGTACGGAACCCATCCATGGCGTTTTACATCACAATATTTATTGCCTTCGAAATCTTCCGTGTCATGTCTTCTGTAGCCTTCTGACCATCCTGGTGGACATTGCCTGTTTAAAGGCATTGGTAGGCAATACTTGCCATCTGGCCACTGATATGCCTGGCTAAGGGCAAACAGGAAGAAGAAAGGTATCAATGCGATTACGGTGGTCATTTTCATTTAACGTAACGAACTATTCGAATTACTGTGCTCTGCCCGAATGTTGGAAGACTTCTGGAGCAACTCTTCTTTACTCTCTTGTGATGGTTCTGTTAATTATGCTCAGTCGATCCAATGTACATCCGCTCCAGCAATCTGAATCAAGAGACTACGCGGGATGTACGTAGCGCTGTTGTTCTTCCAATTTAGCAGAATGAATACACGGCAGACTCTTTGGCGAAGACCGACTGTACGCGTAGTTCCCGTCCTACAAAAACAGCGCCCGGTACAATATCGATATTTCTTTCATCACAGTTGGAATTCTGCATTGCAAATTGATAACTAGTCATAATATAATAATCTTAACCAACATGACTGGAAATTACATACAACATGGTACGAGTCATAAAAGGCCCGTTTTGTTCATACAGTCAAATCGCGAGAAACATCTTGGAAAACACGACTCACCTTTTCATCTGCCTTCGATATTTTCTCACCAAATTTGTACATACAGTGCATCACATCTTGATCAAAAGGGACTTATTTATACGTAAATATCTCACAAGATTTTAGTTGTTTTGTCTATCCGAAGTGAAAATGGGATAAAATAAGATTGAGGGCCTCCGTCAGGAGAGTTAGTATGGCCCTCAAGTCGAAACGTCGAGAAGGGTTTTGTCTGTTTTAGGCAGTTGTTATACCACAGTTGACGCTAAGTTGTTTGAAGACGCTGCAACGCTGCTCCCTGGTTATATTGGAAAAAAAGTGTACAAGTCTCAGTTTTTATAAGTCTTATACTATTGCCATTATTCCTTCAGCTCACACTTGAATCCCTGTAACCTAGCAGTTCCCTTCTTAATCGCATATTACCGCCTTTTCCTTTTTCATAAGTCTTATTGATCAGAACACATGATCTACCCGATTTGTATCCAAAAACACCCAACTGCCATGTAATTTAAAATGGTTCCAAATGCCATTAAAACATATTTTTCTCGCAGTCAGTCTAAAGACCAACTCCAAGTTAGGCTAATATTTTTGTAGTTTATGAGTTCACGGCAACCAGGTATATAATCCATCGTAATTATCGCTACTCTGGTTTTAGTAAATGAAAGTAATCACCACACAAAGATTAACTTTCACGACCCAACGTTTCGAGACTCCGGTCTAGTGTCTTCACCCCTGATGAAGACACTAGACCGGAGTGTCGAAACGTTGGGTCGTGAAAGTTAATCTTTGTGTGGTGATTACTTTCATTTACTAAAACCAGAGTAGCGATAATTACGATGGATAATATTTTTGTGTTGATTCACTGCAAAAACAATCAATTACTAAAGAAATCAACGCTCATCAAAATCACATTAACAAATTTATACAAGAACCGCTGATCGAATGTATCAAATTTCTGGCCATTGATTTGTGTAACAAATATTGGGGGAGGGGATAGCCCGGTGCAAGTAAGTAAATAGGTGAAAATTGCGATTAACTTCAATGAAAATGAAATATTCTGAAAAGGAATCCATAGTTAAAAGTCCAAACATGGAATGTATGTTTAGTGTTTACTATGATATCGCTTTGGTAATAATGAAATACAACCCACGCAGCAAAAAAAAAAGTGTGTATATCTACATATATTAAAGAAATTGTTTGAAAAGCGGTTAGGCAAATGACGTGCTTTGAAGTAAATTTCTTTGTTTCATTAATAAATTTTTCCCAGAATTGAATTGTGTGTTTCATATGAAGTATGGTCTTCCTTCAGCTCACACTAAAGAGTCCTTGTTGTAACCTAGCAACAAGCGTAAGTTTAATACCTAAAAATATCGTCATATTAAAGCTATTTTCCTGCCAACAAGTCTTATTGGTCATAACACATGATGGCCAGAAATTTAATACAGTCAGCGTTTGCTGTATAAAAGATCACACTTGTTATAGTTTCCGTTCAGTCATTAGCTGTCGTCACATTTCTTTCCATGTCTTTGGAATAATCGTGAAAGACCGATAACGAATTATGGAAAGAATCATGTCGTTTCCTGTCTTTTTATGCCGTTGAGATAGGATTCGTTTCATCCGAGCGATACTGTCGTTTTCTGTTTCTCTCAGTCGTTATCGGTCTTTCACAATTTTTCCAAAGACACGGAAAGACATGTAACGACAGCTAACGACTGAATGGAAACTAGGCATAAGCGTTTCTGCAACGATCTAATTTTGACAAGTAATGCAAATTTGAAGTTATTATGATTATTCATTTTTAGAAATTGATTGTTTTCGCAGTGAATCAACACTAACATATTAGCATAACCAAGAATTGGTCTTTAGACTACTGAATACGAGAATACTGTTTTTTTAATGACTTTTGAAAACGTTTTGAATTACAGAACAGTCGAGTGTTTTTGGTTTATCATGCATGTGTTCTGCCCAATACGACTCCTGGATATAAAAACTGCATTGTGTATGTTTCGTATGAACTATGAAGTATGGTCTTCCTTCAGCTCACACTTACGAATCCCTGTAACCTAGCAACAAACGCAAGTTTAATAAGTATCGTCATATTTAAGTATCATCATTTTAAAACCGTTTTCTTGTCCACAAATCTTATTGGCATAACACATGATCGCCAGAGATATGAGTTATACAGTCAGCGATCGCTGTATAAAATGTCATACTTGTTAGGAGTTTCCGCGTTTAGCAGCCATACGATCTAATTTTGACAACTTAGTAATGCAAATTTGTAAGTTATCATAATTATTCGTTTCTTTAGAAATTGATTGTTTTCGCAGTGAATCAACACCAACATGAGATTATTAGCATAACAAGCGATTGCTCTTTCGGCAGACTGCAAGAGGTCTGAGTGAGAAAATATCAAATACGTATATTATTTGTATAAGACATTTTTTTCTAGTATTCTGATCTATCTATCTAAATAAATCGTCAATCAGCTTTTGTATGTTGGTACCGTTCTTTCATTTAGAAATCTGCCATGATGCTTCTCCTGAAACTCCAATATTCTCCTGTTTTAATGCCGTTGGCAAATGCGCAACCTCCGTTCCTTTATGGGAATCTTATGCATGGGACGATCTCTGTCCTAAAACTTGCAATACCTGCGGTAAAAGTGTGTGTTGCGCTGGTATATTTTCTTTCAAATGTCATACCAATCAAAGTTTAATGAATAAATGTTTATGAATGATGATTGTAGATAAACATTCAGCAGAAATAAATCACACTGTCTGTTGATCTCTATAAATCGAGAACGCCTGTTTTGTGAGTCAAATGAGTCTATGAGTTGTGAGTCAATGAGTTGTGAGGTTTACGAATTTACGTTGTTATTTTCATATTTTCATTTGGTTAGTACGTGACTGGTACGGTGTTGCAAACCACCCTTAAGATTTATATTATATTACAGATTTGTGAACTTTTTATTGTCTGTATGAACTTTATTTGCATTGGTCTGGTTAGAAATATTCTTCAATAATTATCCAGTATTAATACAATAGTACTTCAAGGGTTCATATGTACATGCAAGGTAGGACAATGCAGTCACCGCAGTAAGTCGCTTTTGGACATTTGCGACTGATTCCGATATTTTTTTACAGTTTCCATGAACTTATTGTGAACATTTGAAATTGGTTTATATGAATATTTACAACTTTGATCTTGAATCCTGACGTGATAGCTGTGTTTAAAACCCGCCCGAACTTGTAGATCAGTAATAAATTGAACGTTAGTGAAGACCTGCTTATCCCATGCATCACATTTTTATTTTGATCCCCGAATTTCATAATGCCATAAATGCCCTCCTAAATTAATAACTGCTTAATAAGTACCATATGTAACATGAACGGCCGTGTTGTATCAGTAGATATACAAACCCGAGCCGGAGGCGAGTGTTTTTATCTCTGAAACAACACGGCACGAATGATGTATAGTTCTTATCAAACGAATACAGGGACCGCGGAGCAGGGTGGCTCGCTGGGCTTTTGCCCCACCAATAATTTTTCAGTAATTAGTCTTTAATTTCGAATATTTTTTAGTTCGCTCAAATTTACAAGCAATACAAGCGCCAAAATGCTGGAAACTTTACATAGGGGAGGCATTTGACCATTAAAACAGCGTGGTTATCCATTTCAAAAATATTTGACATGATAACCAAAGCATGGCTATATTGTTTAATGTTTGTTATGAGCGCCAAACATGCTGGAAACTTTACATACTATCTATTATTTTCCATTAATCCTTAAATTGAGAGGCATTTGCGGCGATTTCAGAGACTTATATTTCAAAATTTTCCCGGACTCTCCTAGCAGGCGCGCGGTTCCGAGCCCCAGCAATACGAAAAATGCTCCGCGGTCCCTGGAATAGAGATATCTAAGAGTTATGTTGGCCATATTGTAAAATGTAGTCGAGAAATTCGAAGGTAAATTTTATGCAAATCAGGCGAAATCTTTATCCGCAGTTACAAAACTGTGGTTAGGAAAATGCAGCAAAATTTTTTGACTCATAACTCATTGACTCATAACTCATTGACTCATTAGACTCATTTCAACATTAATCTCCTATAAATCACTGTCCTTAATTCTGCTTTAAAAATGACCCTCTCCACTGCATGCTCTGCTCTAGATCTAATACGATGTTTAGATGGTATCACCGGGCACAACTCTTTCTAAATCTGGATGAGTTGTTGAGTAAGCTATAGATCCAGAAGAATCATTGTCTTAACCCTACACAAGTTGTTTAAGTAACCATCAACAAAAGGATAGCAACCAGAAGCAGCTGTAACAACATCATGAAATTCCCTGTGGATTTTCATAGTTCAAACAAAATTTGAATTTTCGGCTATTTTATTAAAGAATGATGCATGTAGAATTACGTATATATAGAGTTGTAATGTTGTTATGTTGACAATATCAAACTATACGTGAAACCAGAACCATCATGACACCAGATATCCGAACCACGTCCTTTTCCATTATTTTCTATGAACTGCCAAACGCGTTTGTTTGTTTAGGGTTTCTGTTTACTTTGATCTATCGAGCGCATTATTTACAGCGGGATGAAGTAACGACCGGGATTAAATAGTAAACGCCCCCCCTCCCTTCCTCTCAACTTATGCGTGACGTCATCGGACCACATCAGGACATTTAGGCCCAGTGTGGGCCGAGCGAATACCCTGGAGACGATGTTGATTATCAGAAATGAGACATTTTGAGACGAGAGGTAATTTTATTTATGGAAACCACATGTACAGGAAGCAACGATTGATATTATTCAACACTTACATTTTAAGCTAACGTCCACTGTTTTTAATTAAACAACTAATGGTAAATTTATATCAACGTGCGGTTACGACGATTAACAAGTATCATACGATGTGTAGGAACAAAATTCGATTTTTATCCCACTTCCAAACGTTTTTCTACCGTCGGGAAATACCCCAACACGTGCGTCTACGTTCCGACTGTCTTCAGTGTCCCACTGCAAGTATCCAGTATGAGGTCCAAGATAACCGCGTTGAGCTCCGGGACATCTTCCTTTGTATCGCATTAGAATCATTTCAGAGCATTTGGGTAGACCTGACAGCCGTTTTGATGTCCAGAGCCCTTGCACATCACGACAGCAAAAGTATATCTTGGTGTTTCGACCGTAATCCCCATCTGGAAGAACCCCACTGCGACCGTTGTTATTTCGCCGATCTTCGTCATCCCAGAAAATATATCCTGTGTATCAAGGAGGAAAAACATTTCAACGGGTGTTGCCATTAATAGCGCGATAAAGTTCGGAGATATTTGGCGCGGTTCAACCAAGTTCATTTAGTTTTTGTGTGGTCAGTAGACAAGCCAAGAATAAAAAACAGTGGTCAGTGGACAAGCCAAGAGTGGACACCACTTTTGACTTTTATACATGTCATTTTGAACGATTGAACGTAAATCTAATACGCCGTAAACGCTATAATGATAAACGCTATAATATTTTAGTTTTCTTTCTTTATAAATGTGCAGTCTCGGCTCTTGTTTTCGAGCCTATTTGCCTTAACAACTGGCTCTTTTTGCCATGTATGTGCCTCGATACACGCCGGTACATACGGCTTACCTGAAGCAAAATTTTTAGGACACGAACCACCATATCTGAAAATGCAATATGATCCGGAAGGCCACTGTTTTTCTGTGCGAGGAGAATTCTCTCGAGTTTTGCAGCAAAATCCCCAGCCAAGATTTCTGCATAAGTCATAGTTGTACGGAACCCATCCATGGCGTTTTACATCACAATATTTATGGTCATCGTGATCTTCCATGTCGTGTCTTCTGTAGCCTTTTGACCATCCTGATGGACATTGCTTGTTTGAAGGCATTGGTAGGCAATACCTGCCATCTGGCCATGATGCTTGACTGGAAGCAAGCGTGAAGAAGAAAGGTATCAATGCGATAATTGTGGTCATTTTATTTCAACGTAATGAACTACTTGTGTTCTGGTCGAAAGTTGGAAGGCGTCTGGATCAACCCATTCATTCCCTGGTTTTATAGTTGATAAAGTAACGCTCATTCTACACTGTACATCCGCTTCATCACTCAGCATGATAACAGGAACTACGCGGGATTTATACACGAGTACACATGTAGGCTCTTTGCCAAACTGACTTACTGCACGTTGGTTGCTGCCTTACGTAAATATAGCACTTGCCACTTAGCACAATATCGACGTTTCTGTCTTCAGAGTTAGAAATTTGCATTGATAAGTCATGATAATTTTGAGTAATTTAATTTATTATATCTAGCTTTTGTGAAAATGATATACAAGGTGCATAACGAAAAGTACCTGTAAGCTTCTGTTGGAATATAAATGATTGGTGTGTGAGTAGAATGGTAATTAAGGTAATTAAGTTGCACCATTCAAATTGAGCGTCTTGCTTACCTTCAGCATAATAATAAGGCATTCAAATTCTCAAAAAGCTTGATTTCAATAGGGGGTACTTTTTTATACACAATGTATGGGGTGTCCCAAAAAACCCCCAATTTCACCTATTATGAAAAAATAAATAACCTGTTCGCGAATGTTTGCCCGCGTGGGAATTGAAGGCAACTTATAAAACGCTATAAGTACAAAAATTTTAAATTTGCCAGAGAAGGGGGCGTGTCTAAGGTCATGGTGCTTGAGAAATTAATTTAAATTTGTTATCCATATTTGTAGATTGTAAATATTGTTAATAAAAATAATTTAGAAATAAATAGTTTACTGAGATAGAAACAAATTTTACTGTCCTCATACATAAAAATGCTTATGTCAAACATTTATACATTTGTGGGTTCTTATAGGCATTCAAAGCCTAACTATACATTTTCATGGATGATTTCAATATACAATGTGTATAAACCACTTAATATTCATGAATATCCAATATTTTTCAAAACAAAAGACAAGGCTGTCAAGCCATTGTAATCCTAGAGACCTAAAATCTGTTGAACATTATAAATTTTAGAATAGATGGTTGCCTTTTTTATACACCATGTAGTTCTGTAGTTCTGTAGAACCCACGACGACAGAAAAGATACACGAAATGTATAAAATATATATACACGAAATGTATAAAATAATTGTTTCAGAAAGCGATTAGGCGTGCTTTGAAGCAGTCAATTTCTTTGTCGTATTAAAATAAGAAATCCTAAAACCGGAACCAAGTACATTTATTATGCATGATCTCGCTTTGGTAATAATGATACTATGACAGATTGTTTGAGAAATCGATTAGACGTGCTTTGAAGCAGTCAATTTCCTTGTATTAAATAAGGACTTGCGTCATTTTTTGCAATATTGTTGTACTGTGTGTTAAGTATGGTCTTCCCTCAGTTCCCCTTTAAGTCTCTATATAGCAACAAGCGTTGGACGTGTGCTTTCATTTCCCCTTTAGATGCAGTGTATGAAAATATGTGTCAACTGTTAGCACGCGATGCAAAAACTGAAGTAGTACACAGCATATGTTGTACTAAATAACACATCCAGCCTGCATACTAAACACACCTTGAAGAATGATAACATTAGAATATTTGGGGATCTAAGGAATTTGAACTGTAAATACACAATTAGAATTATTCAGACATACCTTTACATTTAATAAATGTACATTATAATTGTACTATGATATTATATAGACTGACATAGAAATATTTGTAATACTTTATAATATAAAGTATAAAATGTCAGAATTATCTGACGGTGATATAAATGTTTAAAACCCAGCACTCGTTGTCGGATTAACGAAAAAGGTTTAATATTTAAGAAACATAGATATTGCACTTCTTATGTAACTTCTTGACGTTTCTAAATGGTGTATAGAAAAAATTGAACTAGACTAGTTCTTTGTTTTAAACAAAGAAATAAAAAATTATGATAATAATATTTCTCAAACACTATATCGTTTTGTATGAGAAATTATAAGAAAATCCGGGAAGTTTAATCCATCTCGCACAGGTAGTGCAAAGTAGACCCGCTTGATTTACATCGATTCGAAAAATCAAAGATCAAGTTAAACCAGATTAACTGTGACCGTGCATGTAGACGGACTTTAGTAGCAAAATGGACTTAGGTAGCAAAACGTATTTACCTGCATGATAGTACAAGAAGCGCATAATAACGCTTGGCCGGTCAATTCGGTTGCGTTATCGTTAAAGCTATGTTCTGCAGAAGAAAAGGTGCGCTATTCCTCTTTCACCAAACTGTGTGTTATGCAAAGGTGTGTTTTATTCATTGATGTGTTCTGAAAATGTCTTTAGACTCGTAAAAGATTGTGTTAGTGGGTAAGGTGTGCATTTATTGAAAAATCTGAGTCACTTGCATGTGTTATCTTAAAATCCCTGGTTTCCATTCAGTCGTGAGTGTCGTCAACATGACAAATTGAATACAGAAATAAATACATTTACATAAATTTACAGTCTGACTATATTTCTTGTCGGTGGAAATGACTTGTTCGGACGACAATTACGACTAAATGGACACCAGGCTAAATTCAAAAGGTGTCCAAAATTAGCACATCTTCGTTTAAAAAGCGTGTTGTCAGTATAGCTAACAAGTTGCATGGCAGCATGACCACTCTTATACCGGAAATAGTATAATTACCCGTTTAGCATTGGTATACATCGTTAGCGTATTCGAAAAACCGAAAATATAGATAGACTATAGCTACCAATCGTAAGGCAGCATTGTCAATTGCTATGCTTGCTATATATATATATATATATATATATATATATATATATATATATATATATATATATATATATATATATATATATATTAATATATATTATATATATATATATATATATATATATATATATATGTATACATATATATATATATATATATATATATATATATATATATTATATATATAATATATATATATATATATATATATATATAGTTCTTATCTCATGGGATTCTCAAAGGGGAACTAAGTGAAGACCATGCATACTTCACAATAGTTCTTATCTTATGGGATTCTCAAAGGGGAACTAAGTGAAGACCATGCATACTTCACACAAAGCATGAAACACAACAATATCGCGGAAAAAACCTCTTAATCAGCCCTTACTAATTACAACAAAGAAATTAACTGCTTCAAAGCACGTCATTTTGCCAACTAGCTGTCTCAAACAATTCCTTTAAATCAAGCTTTCCGTTGTACATAAACACATCTTTTTTGTTATCTTAGGAGGTATGGGATCCCGCGGTTTCAGTAGATCGCGATGTTCACTGATTTACTTCCACCGGCTATTATTATTCCAACCCAATATTTGTTATACAAATTGCTTATGAGTGCGAAATTCTAACTCTGATCACGGAGACGTATTGTACGGGGTGCTATATTTACGTAGGACAGGCTGCAACCAACGTGCAGTTAGTCAGTTGGCACAGAGTGTGCATGTACTCGTGTATACATCACGCGTAGTTCCTGTTATGCTGATTGATTAAACGAATGTACAGTGTAGACTGAGCAGAATTTTGTGAACTATAAAACAAGGGAAGGAATGAGTTGATCCAGACGTTTTCTTATCTTCGGCCAGAACGCAATTGCAACAGTTCATGTAGTTTATGACGTTAAATTGAAATGACGACCACAATCGCATTAAGAGGAGATTTTTTATTATGTCGCGTATTTTGGCGGGAAAACGCTCAAAACCTAAAATCTTTTCGGCGTACCACTCAAAATCCATTTATTTTACCATTATTCTTTAGATTATGTTGTGAACTAAGTTTTGAACTGTATTTGGTGAATGCAAAACACCAAACAAAGGAGTTATTACAAAATATAATGCGGCGGCTATCAACAATGTTATAATGTCAACGCCATTATACTGAAATGAATACAAAAGAAGCTTCGATTCAAGTGTCATTTTCTTTTCGGCGTATCCCGAGAAATCTTCGCAATTCCACGCTCAGCTGTAAATCGCAGTAACATGTATATAAATTATACTGTATATTTAGGTTTTTCATTCTCGTGGAAATGTTTAAATTAGACTTTCAAATTTTATGTTTACACCGTATTACGACTAACGATTCGGAAATAATGATTCATAAGACGGAGGAGGTGGCAAATTCAGGGTACTTGGATTCTCATAGAGCTCCATGGGAGGAGCGCTGGGCAATCCTATATCATTTTCATATATCCTATCGTCTGTATTCCTAACATTAAATTGTCCGTTGCCATTTTCTGTTTCTGTACTCCAGGATGGCGTCGCCTGGATCTCTTGCTGTGCAGTCGGTGATGGTTCAGTGGACCGTTGGAGGGTATTTCGAGGACGGCATACCTTGCAACGAACGTACCAACTAATTAGACCAATTAAAACCAAAACTCCTACTACTATAAATAAAATTGCCAACACGGGAAAGTCATTTGGAGTTTTTGGACAGTCGAGGCATCTTTTCTTTTTACTGTCACAGCATTCACCTGCACCACCGCAGTCGCTGTCATTGGTACAGATCTTATTGATGCAATTTGAATAACAGCTACGTCTGGAGAAGAACATCGTATCTCTGCAGCAATAATACCCGCTACCAAAACTGTTGCAGTCGTTATGCGAAAAGCATCCTTCGCGGCTGAAACATTTTCTTACGTCAGAACACTTTCTGGTGGAGGGATTCAAAACACAATCCCTATCTGGGTAGGTGCAGATTTCTGCAGGACTACAATCGTTCTCAAGTTTGCATTTCATGCCGGTACAATTCGGTCTACAATAACCTTGATTGCCTGACGATCGGCAACAGTGGAACCCATTTCTGCAATCATATTTGGACCTGCAGGTGCAATTCAGTGCAGTACACTCATGGTTAATGCAACATTCGCCCGGAGCGGAACAGGCTTTGTTAGAGCGACAGAATTTCCCCACGCAACTTTGACTGCATAAACCTTGTCCTTCTCCCTTGCAGCAGTATTTTCCTGCCGGACATTCCCAATTATCTCTACATCCGGACTTGGGACATTTGACGCACTTGTTTTCTATGCAACATTCATTGGGGCCGCCACAATCGCTACGTGAGTCGCAACTCTCACCTACACAACCCGACCGAAAACACCGGCTCGTCCTATGGGAACCACGATCACAACAATACCCGTCACTGCATTGTGAATTCGAAGAACATTCGAGGCTCGCGCAAGAAACGCACTTGTTGTCGTGGCAGCACTTCGAATATCTATCACAGTCACTATCAATCAAGCAGGCCGCATCAAAGCACCGGGTAGCACAGAAATTCCCTTCCTGAATTCCTTTATTTTTGCAGCAAGATTGTCCGTTATGACATTCATGATGGTTGCGACAACCTAAATATATTGATCGGAAATTATGATTCACATTTGCTTTTCGCTCCATATTGATTATAGATCAGTGTCGTACGGGAGACGATGATTGGGGGGGGGGCACATATTCGTGTATTCATGTTGTGCAACATTAATGACTTTTTAAATCCATTGTCTTTACATGTCTGTTAACATGAATATATGAATATGCCCCCCCCCACGCATTATCGTCTCCCGTACACCACTGTTGTAAGTCATATGTTGTATGTCATAAGTAATTCTCTCGTTCTTCAAAAATATATATGTTTTTTAGAACAGGTTACCCTCTTTATTTTATGTTTTAACCTTTTTAAAGATTCGTTTTCTGTGTAGGGGATGTATTGGATGACCGGCTGGCCCACTAAACCGACAAATAGCGATTCACAACGTCCTATATAGCTTACAACCGAAATTTTGATTAGTGGCTGAATGATAAAATCTCTAGATCTAGCAACACATGCAGAGATCATCTTCTGATTTCTGAACAAAACCTGAAATATCCGTGTTACATTCAGACCTCGCATTTTGGTCAAACGCAATTTGAACAGTAGATAATGAGATGTTAATGAAGCTTAATTAAAGTGCTTATAAACCCAAAATGGGTTTCTGGTGATTCAGATAGAGCATAAAAAGTTGGTTTGTAACTTCTGCTTTAGTTTTTGGATTAAAATTTTAATTTCGGAGTTACGATGGCTCAAACAATAGAATTTGACCATTTCTCAAAAAAACGTAGCGCGACGCAAATATCACCAAAGGGCCTGGATCCCAGGAACTCGTCTGCCATTTCGTATGGCATAATGGTAGCAGTATTGCTATTCACATTCGAAAATCAACTTAAACCCAGCCTATCAGGAACTTTTATTTAAAAATAGACGTGTTCCTGAGACCCAGTCCCCCATTTGGCGCTACCTTTTTTTTAAAATAGACTTGCCGCCCAATATCTTCGAAATTAAAATTTTAACGCAAAAACTAGTTTAGAAGTTACTAACCAACTTTTTATGCTCTATCTGAATCACGAAAACCCCATTTTGGGTTTATAAGCACTTTAATGAGGTTTATCATCCATTATCTATTGTTTGAATAGATAACTTTCACCGTAGAATGAGAACGAGCAAATATTATCAAATTGACAATATTCGTTCGTTATCGTTCTACGGCGAAAGTTATTCTTCATTAACATCTCATTATCTATTGTTTGAATTATATTCGACGCGACCAAAATACGATGTATATAACCCAGGCCACGTAAACTGAACTGAATGCGCGTATTTCTAAACATATTAAGCGTTTTTATGTCTATACATAATTAAAATTGAAGAAAATTTACAAAACCTGGCGTCGTGCAATTTACACACACGTTCGAACGACAGCATTCCTGTGAGCCACCACAACTCCATTTATTACTGCAATATTTCCCAAGACAATTCACCTCGCATCGTTTTTTTTTATTATTTTTAGTAAAGCAACAATATTTTCCCGAATCACAATCTCTGATGGACGAACACGTCGGGCACTGATTGGTGCACCTGTTCGACACGCAGCATTCCTCTTGCCCATTGCAGTCGCTGTTGGAAAAACAATATCGACCACGACACGAGCCTGAAACCCATCTACAAGATCGATCAGTGTACCATCTAAAACCTCGACAACAAGTATAGTGATTCCGGCAATCCTTGTTAGAACTACAACTATTTTGGGCTACTGAGAATCCAATTTCTTTTGAAAATACCACAATTGTAAGTATGGCGAATAGCAAAACGACACAATTGAACATTTTTGTGTCGTATTAAGCGCTTATTTACGATATACTGTTTAATATATTTATTTGAAGATATTTAAACTGTTCCGGAACTCTTTAAACCGGATAAGGGCTGTTTTCTATTACGTACGCTTTGCCCGCGTAGGCGAAGTTGCCTTTGAAAATCTGGGAGAGAGAATGTGATAGAAAAATGCTTTCGGGGGCTTGGAACTATGAAAATACCGTTTATTTTTCATCGCTTACTCTTTACTTTTTGTCGTCTATTTTAGGCAGTTGTTATGCCACATTTGATGGTTGATGCGATTACGCGAAATTGTTAGACGCTGCCAGGCTGCTCCTTGACAGAATCATTTACGTCTTTTAGTTTCCGGTAAATGACGTAAGAAGTCATATTCCTCTTTATTATTTGCTGCTTGAGTGGGCATAGTCGTGATAACCGGCTTAAATGGGAGTTATTAGTTATTACTCACAGCGCAAGTAAGCTTGATTAAAAGAAAAGATTTTATTCACGAGTGAAAAGTGCCCAGACCAGGTCAAGAGTTGTTATATAAGAAGCAATCACAGATGACATATTTCTTAGACATATATTCTACGTAACGTATACAGATATTTATGCAAAGTCAAGGAGTTGATTGCGTCACTCAGATTCCGGTACATGACGTTAGCAAGTTCATGATCGGTTTTGTCGTTAGGTAAGTAAGGTAACTTGAGTGGGCGATGTTGTGTTAGATTACCAGCTGAAATAAATAATATCTATTGCCTTTTATTGAATACCTTTTAGGCTCAAATTTGTGCAATTTATGAAGTCTGGGGCGATAACTGATGGTTATATGTCCGTCATTTTTGAAAACAACGCCGGGCGAGTCTGTTTCTTTTTACAATCAAGATGAAAGTAATAACAGTCGGAATAATTCGGCCATACGCGACTAAATTTTTAAGAAACAAGACGCCTACTCAGGCGATCACTCGGGCTACAGTTATCTCGTAGTAACATGGCATGTTCGTGACACCCGCGCGAGAAACGACCCTAGGACGATTTCGATTGGTTCGAAGACTTCGTGCCGCCCACGCGTGATTTTTGTAAACTCGCAACGCAAAAGAAAAAACCAAGCCAATTTTACAACTCGGTCTACCTACGGTAGCCCGAGTAATAAGCGGAGCCCGCATATGTGAAATCATATTTACATTGACTTTATTATTTTTCACTGTAGTATAAAACGTATCGACTGATAGCTATGCCTCTGGGAGTTCATATGTTTTGATATTTCAGATACATAGCTGTGTTAGGTTTCAAGCTACTGGAAAAAAAAAGAGTAATGTCGCAGCTCCTCGCAAGAATGATTTTCATTGGCTGAACTTTACAATACATTTCTGTTTCAACTAATAGCATAGCTTCGTTCTTTAGAAAGCATAGAAAAGCATTATCCAATTGGACGAAAGCTTCCGAGCACTCACGACATGTCCCAAAAATAATGACGTCAGTGTGAATATAATTTTAGCGAATACATTTATTTGGGTTCCGGTTTTACTGGGAAACCCTGTATATCTCGTTTCATTTCACGTTAAATTTTCCTTAATTTAAAAATTGGTTGCATTTCGAGTGCTGACGTGTTTCGAGACAGACCATGGCTGTAATGACCTACGATAGAAACTGTGCGAGTATAGGAGAGAATTTTCCTATATGTAGCAGGAAACTAACTCCTGTCTTAGAAAACCCTGGGTAGGAGGTTGGTCTAATTTCTATTTTGGGCTATAAGAACACTGAGGCATTCCCATGTACAAGTAGTCTGCATGGCAGGCGGTCCCTGAAATCGGGCAAGGCGAATTTAGGGACCATGCAGGCTAATGTACGAGTAATTCAAAACCCAAAATATGATAATTATAAATGTAGTTGCAATATTTGTCTTACTTAAACAAGCCTTAATTTTGTGTCAGTATAAAGAACTAATGAATTATTGTATTTAATATTTTTGGTCAAAACAATCATCCCCAGTTAAAATTAAATTTTTTCCTATCAAGATTTGATCATTACTAAAGTAAATATATTTGCAATTACACTGCTTTTTTAGGCAAGTATTAATTATTATTGATAATAGCGTGCGCTATACTTTCCAACTCTCTTCTCTTCAGGTCAAGGAAGAATTGAAGTCATGAATTGGTTAATCTGCGTTGGTGTTCTTTTTGCTGCCCTCTGCAGCCACTCTGAAGGTAAATACCAAAAATATACTTCGTAAGCGTAAATTGGTCACACTTCAGTCAAATTTAGATTATATAGGCCATAAGTCCTTTTTCCACTTGGAAGCGATATCTGAAATCCGGTGATCGGTGATTGGTTTGCAAAAAGATTCGCCGCGAAAAAGTAGAAACGCCTCCTATACTTTTTATCTGTTCGCGCGAATAAATTCGCCTAGTGGAAAACGAGTGCTATGAATCTTGTCTATACTACGTTCCCAAAAACATATTATGCTGACTTCGGTGCCAGGGAGTTAAAGGATTTCATTAATGCTGAATAGATTTTGTTATGGAAGAATCGGTTTTGGCCTACTACAATAGAATCCATATACCCGCAAAAAATAACATAATTGCAGTTAAATATGATCGAATCCTAACCGCACATGTACTGTGAAATATCAAAACTATGAAATCCATCAGAATTATTTCTTTGAAATCAAAACCGAAAGCTAACTGCAGATGACGTTTCCTATACAGTGCTATACCGTATTGCTCACAAAAAACCATTTTGTTTTCATTTTCGGCAACATTAGCAAGGGCTGGGTGCAAGTCTCCCGGAGCCCGAAAAAATGGTCATGTGCACGGGGATTGGGGAGACCTTCAGGACGGATCGACGCTAAGGCTTAAATGTAACAAGGGATACAAGTTTAAAGGAAAAGAACAGGTATTTTGCTACTCTGGACAGTGGAGTGCAACTCTTGGCACATGTGAAGGTTTGAAGATTTTTGTTTGTGAAGTAGAGCATCAATGCATGCAATATTGCATGTAGTTTAATAACCCATTGCAATTGGTGATTGTTGTTTACCAATTGTTAATTTCTAACAACTGCTCAACATAAAGGATAAATCACTGATGTTTTCATTGTTCCCTATTCGCTTCAAAGTTGTTACGTGCCAGCCTCCGAGGACAAGCTGCTTATCAATCTCAGATCCTCCAAGTTGTTTCACAGGACCATCTCCTTATGATACGCATTGCAAGCTATCGTGTCCCTCGGGATATCGCGACAGTGCGGAATTGCGTTGCAATCACGAAGGAAAATGGGAAGGACGTGATGTCGTTTGTGAAGGTACGCCACTCCAAAGTCAAATGTGCAGCATTCTCATCTCTAAATATATTGAAACATTTTACCATCCAAACTACCCCGTAACAACATACGACAACCAGCACAACGCATAATACCAGTATGCAACCTCCAATTTCACTCCAGTGGTTATTAATTACCGCTTTGGGGCTGGTAATCATCACTAATATTAACTGTGCTTTCATACAACCGGTTCCTGATCTATGCTGACCATGCATGCATGTATATCCATTTTGTCTTTGTATTATATCATACAGGAATTGGCATAAAAAACCTGTAACCTTCGAAAAATAAGAATATTGGATGACCAAGCAGGCATAATAATAAAAAATCATGTACAATCTTAATATAAGTAAATTAGCTTGTAGGTACACGAAGTAAATACATTACCATACTAAAGTGCAAGAGTATTATGTACAATCTTATTACCATGCGCGAACAAAACAGACATCTTCTACAAAGTTTCTTAACCACAAATCATTTGAATCAAAACATCTTTTGTATTTTCTTCCCTAGATTACGAGGCGCCCGATATTGAGTGTCCACAACAGGGTCGGGTGATTGTACAAAATACAGACCTAGGAAAAGCTATTGCAACAATTCGTCTGCCGACTCCGAAATACTCCGATAACTCGCAGCGACATGGTGGAAAATTGAATTTCAGTGCGACCTTAAATGGTAAACCTATTTCTGCCCATCGGAAGTTGAGGATGACACAAAATCTTAGTTATTCTGTGAGGTATCTTGTGAAAGATGAGGAAGGAAATCAGGCAAAATGCGATTTCTCTTATCGCGTAGTAGGTGAGAAAGACTTCAACATTTTAAGGGTTTTTGAGCTCAGACCGGTTTAAATTAATGATCAATTTTTTTAAACTCAGTCTGACTGGAACCATATAACCATTTCCCAAAATGCTCGACCGCATAATTATTTTCCACGTCGAGAGTTGAGTAAACTCCAACGAGATATATTTGTGTGGGGTTGGGCAAATATGAGAAATTAAAACACAGTATGTTTCGAAGACAAGTATTTTTCGACAGTCACTCGAGATAATGTGATTAAAACTTCCAACAAGCATGTGCCATTACGTTAGCTTATGTTTTTTGAGAAAACTCTGTGAGTAAATCACTTCGTTGCTATGGACTAGAATAGAATTTTTTTTCAAAATAAATGCAATGAAAATATCCCACGTTGGTTGCCACAAATTTTCTCCTTGTACAGAGGGCTCAGTTTCCATAAAGGGTCCTGAAGAAGGGGTCCCAAGGCCGATTTTACACTTTGAATTTTCACAAAATCTCAGACTCCGTTGAAATTTTTTTGGAAATCCCAGCCTGTGTTGGAAGCCTCGTAGAAATAGGGCAATCCCTGTTTTCATTTCACCCCTTCATGCCGGACTCTCTCCATAGTATATTCATAGCATCCATACTATGCCAACATCCTGATCCTATTTTAGACAAAGAGCCACCAAAGATCGAGAACTGTCCAGGAGACATCGTCAAGGCAAGGCCCAACGCCGCTGCTCGTATTCGAATCACTTGGAAAGAACCTCGAATCACGGATAATTCCGGACATGATGCTCTCCGCGTGCATTGTGACCGCCCGAACGGCAGTGAATTTCCTCTAGGTAGATATTTAGTCACATACACTGCCTCCGACAAGTCGGGAAACAAAGCCATTTGCAAGTTCCGTGTGATATTAAGAGGTAGGTTATCTAATGGATTCTCCATGCATTTTAATTCATTTTAAGACGTGCAAGAAATATTATCAAATACTCGAGTTCACTGATTGTTTTACAATATTTTGCAAACAAACCCGACAGTTTTCTCATGCTGAGATTCTCCTTCTAGCGTTAGATTTCGCTTTTCTTGCTATAAAATTCAGTTTAAAGCTCTAGAGCAGTTTAAAACTGAAATGGCAAATCATATGAAGACGCCACTTCGTATAATTTATTTTTAGCTTCATATATAACTCATTACTAATAAACCGTTTTTTCAATTATCTACCCTTAGGAAAATTTCACTTCAAATTTCATATATGAAATGAAGATTTTTTAAACACAAGCTGTAGCTTATTATACATTTGTAATTTATTTTCTGTAATTTATTCTAAGTATCTTGCAACGATCTTGGACACTTGCTCAGCTCCATACTTAATGGCGTAACCATTGCTAATCCCAGGACTCCATGCAGAACTCCTGCCACTGATCCTCAAAAGTGCAACAAGCCAGTTGCACCTGGACTGCCTGATCGTTTCCAGTGGAAGAGCTTTTGCCGAAAGACTTGCAAAGTTTGTTAGGGACATTACCGTACGAGGCTAGAAGGTATGAATATTTCAAGTCAAGACTGGCCAACTAAAATATACAAGAATACAACATATATTTGCGAAAATGTTTCCAATTTAAATTATTTGTCTTCTTCTGTTCATTTTCAATTCAATATTTCGGCAATTCGAGTTATTGAAATTATGAAACGTTGTAGAAAGGAACTTTTCGTTGCCAAAAAATACAATCTATCTGATAATTGATTCTTTGATATTTGCTCAATTTTTAAAGCTTTTCATTAGCAATGCATGACGACATTAATTTTGCTGTATGAAAAAATCTCAAGACCACCTCAATGTCTAAGTTACACAAAAACTGAATTTTTATAGAGATGCGTATATAGAAAACTATATAGCCATTGGTTGAGGACTAACTGTATTTTTTTTCTTTTTTGCTGTTTAGTTCCTGCCTGCGTAATAAATGTTTCCAGACGTCATTCGTTGTGGTTGTTCATTATGGCGATTATCATTATATTCATTGAAGTATCCTCACTAATAAAGAGCATTCAAAAATTATTTTTTACAATGTATTTTTCTCATATTTTCTTATCTATGGAATTAAGAAAAGCGGAGACCATCTGTGCATGTGAGTGAACTTGTTTGAAGTCAACTTTTTGAGGCAGATGCCGGTAAATGTTTATAATAACTGTAGTAAGACACGAAATCGCGCATCACTTTTTGTCGCCTAAATCAAAGACTGCATGGTCTATTATGCAAGTGGTCCATTGGTATTCCTACATCTTATATATAGGTCGGTACTCTCACAATCCAATTCTCCGTGCAGTAAGAAAATTTCTATTTTTTTTCTTAAATCTTCTCTAAATTTGTGTTCTATTGATGTTTTGTTTACATGTTTGGTGAAAATTACTAAAGGAATACTAAATGTTTTTCCGTGTAGGATAGCGTGATACTGCACGCGGGATATTGCCAGACCTTCGGAAAGCGTAAATTCAATATCATTTTTAAACATTTATGCATATGCATGAGGAGGACCAGCAATACAGCGCATGATGCCAGTCTGACCCAGTCATGCTGATGCAGATAAATTTTAGGAATTAAACTACAGAAGCTATATAATTATTCCATATATTTAAGAATGCGAAGATTGACATTTTTTATTGCCAAGGATAAACTCTATCTAAAATTTTAAAAAATGAAATTACAGTAAACATATCTTGAATAATCGAATAACCTGCATTTGTTCTAAACGTATAACAATTCAAGCCGAATAAAGCCCATTCTCCACTGGGCAAATTTATTAGCGCGACGCGAAGCGATATCTCAAATCCGGTGATGTGGCTGGGTTGCCAAAAAATTCGCCGCGAAAAATTGGAATCGGTTGCTTCCTACTTTTTATCTGTTCGCGCGAATAAATTTGCCTGGTGAAAAACGGGCTTGCTTTCTACCGTCAATTTACAGTAGATATTGAGACTAATTTAACGATATTGAGCATATTTTCCCTTGGATCGTGCGCAAGGAGTCAAAGCGAAACCAACTCGTGTCTTAGAAAACCCTAGGAATGAGGTTGGTCTAATTCCTATTTTAGGCTATCAGGATACTGCATGGGGCTTTCCGAATGTACAAGTAATTCAATATGATAATTATAAATGTAGTTCAAATATTTGTCTTGCTTAAGCAAGCCTTAATTTTTTGTAAGTATAAAGAACTAATGTAATTAATATTTTTGGAGCTAATTATTGCACTTAATATTTTTGGTCAAACAAGCATCCACAATTACATTAACTTTTTTGCAATCAAAATTTCATTATACTAAAGTAAATATTTGCACCTCTTTTTAGGCAAGTATTAATTATTATTGATAATAGCGTGCGCTATAACTTTCCAACTCTCTTCTCTTAGAACAGGTCCATTCAGTGGATTCGATCGGGAAGAACTGAAATCATGAATTGGTTAATCTGCGTTGCTGCTCTTGTTGCTGCCTTCTGCAGCCACTCAGAAGGTAAATACCAAAAATATCCTTCGTAAGCGTAAATTGGTCACACTTCAGTGAAATTTAAATTATCGGTAACGAGTCCGTTTTCCACTAGGCGAATTTATTCGCGCGACGCGAAGCGATATCTGAAACCGGCGATGTAATTGGTTTGCGAAAAAAATTCTCCGCGAAAAAGCCGATGCACTTCCTACTTTTTAACTGTTCGCGCTAATTAATTCGCCTAGTGCATGGAAAACGGACTTATGGCCTATGTATAAACTAGATGAGTGCTAAATATATTTAGAATGCTATGAACGTCTCCTATACCACTTTCGCAGAAATATAATCGGTTAGAATCCATATACCCGCAAAAGTGTAACCGCATATGTACTGTGAAATATCAAAAGTCCAAACTATAAAATCAACCATAATTTTTTTTTAATTTGAACCGAAAACTAAAGATGGTATAAAACCGTAGCCCGCTAAAGATACCGAGGCTACACTTGATGCAAAAAAATCGATCAAAATAACCAATTTAAAAGTCATCATCCTGACGTTGCCTTTATAGTGCTATACTGTACCTTAGAGATTCAAATTCTTCTCATTTCAAGGCAGTTAGCTACGTGCATGTGTAGCGGATAGTGTGAACTGGTCTTTACTTCTCACGAAAAAATTAACCCATTTCATTTTCATTTTCGCGAACATTAGCGAGGGCTAGGTGCACGCCTCCCATACCGCGAGAAAATGGCTACGTGCACGGGGATTGGGGAAACCTTCAGGAGGGATCGACGCTAGTGCTTAAGTGCAACAGGGGATACAAGTTGAAGGGAAAAGAACAGGTATTTTGCTACTCTGGACGTTGGAGTGGAACTCTTGGCACGTGTGAAGGTTTGAAGAATTTTTTTATGAAACATGAAGGCATACAATCATGCATTAACTAGCCTATTGCAATCAGTGATTGTTACTTTCCAAAGTAGAGTTGTTTCCCCTGTGTTGGTACGCGTGGTTCCCCTGTCTGCATATATAACTATATTCATTGTAAATCTCCAGATAATATTTTAAGATGTAAGTCTACCATATATTGTAAGCTGCCATAAATTGTTTTCGCTATATATAAAGCCAAATCCGCCACTGTTTCTAACAAAAGTGTAAATGAAGTCCAAGCCAACATGCAAGTAAGACCACTTTGTTTCATTTGTTTTGCATTGCACTAGCAAGAGCAAGGTGCAAGTTTCCCGAGCAACGAAAAAATGGACGCTTGCTTACGTATTCGGCGAGTCAGGAGGACGGATCGGGGATATGGCTTGAATGTGATGAAGGGCATAAAATGAAGGGCGCAGGACACGCAGTTTGCAGGGATGGAAAGTGGAGTGCAACGCTTGGCACTTGTGAAGGTTTATTATGGCTTTTGTGTTAAATGAAATGAAAGCAATGGCACGCAATAATCTTTACACCCTGAAAACTACGTTTATAAAGATTTTTTCCATGCACATAAATTGTGGCTGCGCATTGAGTTAATGCGAACACGGGCAGTAGCGTAGCCAGCCTGACAATTTGTCCCGCTATGCTAATATTTTGGTGTTTATTGACTGCGAAAACAATGAATTTCTAAAGATATGAATAATTATAATAACTCGAAATTTACATAGCGGGACGAAATCGTCAGGCTGGCTACGCCACTGAACACGGAACGGTCTTAGGTATGAAATTGCCATTAAGCCTATTAAGTTCTGGTTATCCTCCCCCCTTCCCCATTAAAACGGCCTCGCGCTGTCCTTGTATGGCTTAAAATTAGCGGGATCTTGCAGCCGAAAGCTGGACGGAACTATTCACCGGATATTAACTACCTCAACCGTTTTTAGTATGCTCGAAAAGCAATGAAATTAGAGATTTGGAGCTAACAGTGATAAAAGTTATTTTCTAAGATATAGATTCTTAGTATATTGAAAACTGTGAGAGCTGGCTTTATTTCTGTACCATCTTTATTTCTGAGACATCATTCATCACATCTTTTTAACCTAATCACTTCTAGTTGTGACGTGCCAACCTCCAAGAACAAGCTGCCTGGCGATCGCACACCCTCCCAACTGTTTCAGAGGACCATCCCCATACGACGCATATTGCAGGATACTTTGTCCCCCAGGATATCGTGGCGCGGGGGGATTGTATTGCTCTAAGGATGGCAAATGGATGGGGCGTAACGTCGAGTGTAAAGGTGGGCAATGCAAATATAGATAAGATAATTCTTATCTTTCGTATACGTTATTGAATGAATGTCTTCGTGATCGCCAATACTAATAGAGGGTTTGGCGATCTAGAATAGCAACTGCAACAGCAAATTATAATCTCTTATTGATGCCGTGCATGGAATTCAAGAAAAATACGAGTTAGTATAGACTTGATTTGCCTCTTAAATTTCCTTTTTCTCTCAAACATTTATAAATATTGTCGATCAGCAAAATTGCTTCACCACAACAAACTCTTAACCACATGTAACAATGACATTACCTGCATACCATAACTGCATGCTGCGTGCATCGCAAAATTGGTAGAAATCATCGCGCAGTTTCGACAACTACGACAGTGCATGTGCAACGTTGCTGAGTATACTTTGCTACAGCTGTTGCCGCTGCATTTCCCAAACTCATTAATTACGGCCCCGTCATGTTACAAAAAGCGTTTGCGCATGCATTATTCAAAATTTGTATATTCTAAAATCAAAATCAGTGATATTTTACAAATAGGGATGGCCTTATTATAAAATCTTCAACCCAATACATGCCAAAGAGTAAGGAGAGAATCGTTTATGTCCTCTTAACTAGATGTTGAGCCTCCCGTGATCGAGTGCCCGCAACCGTATAAGATTACTGAACTTAAGACAGACCCAGGAAAGGCTACTACAGAAATTCTTCTACCAACTCCAAGATATTCCGATAACTCGCAGGAACATGGTGGCAAATTACATTTCAGTGCAATTCTGGATGGTCAATCTATTTCTGTCGAGGAAGAACATAGGTTGGGCATAATTAGAAAAGAACATGAAGTGAACTATTTGGTGAAAGATGAGGCTGGTCACCAGGTCGTATGCCGTTTCTATTATCGCGTAGTAGGTGAGACAGTGTGTCTAATATTGCTAGCTAGCTTGGTATAAACTCAGTTCGAGAAGTGTTTGACCACGGTAACGACAACCTAAATCATCGCACTGCATGCATGCAACTCCACTCGCCCTATGTTTAGCGTGAGATTCTGGTAGTAAGTGCGTAATTTCTGGTTGTAAGTGCAGTGATTGAGAAACCTTAGCGGTTTTACTGCTATATTCGAATTTGATTATTCCTCTCAAGTCTCAACACTGATTATCCTAGAACCTCAATCTAAGAATAGACTTTACAATGACAATATCTGCTTCAAAGAACAAGGGGGAATTTCGTTTTAGACCAATCAACGAGTTTTTTACATTTTCAATGTATTACCGGAAGTATTCAGAATTTATGCATTCTGACTCAGGCATAAATTCTGAATACTTCCAGTAATACATCAGTTACTATTTTACATGAAGTATAAAAAATTTAGGCATTCTGATTGGCTCTGCCTGAAAATTTGTAAAAAATATGCAGATTAGTTTAAAACGAAATTAAATCCGGTTGCTTCAAAGCAAATTCGGCGCACAAGCTGTATAGCTACTAATCGTTCGAGGTGCATCAAATCCCAAACCCATTTCCAAGCAGGCGTGCCTCGTTTCGAGACCAGTGCATGGTAAATAAATTACGCATATTTCTGATATTGTTGTATAATTGCTTGTTTGGATAACGAACGTTTTACCTGCGTTTACAGACACATTTTTTATCTTAATTTTTCACTTTTCTAATTTTTAGACGACGAGCCACCAAAGATTAAAAACTGCCCAGAAGACATCGTCATGACAACGCGCATGGGCGAAAATCGTGTGCGCGTATTTTGGAAAGAACCTCAGGTCACGGACAATGCTGGAGATGATTCTGTTGAGTTTTTTTGTAGCAGGCCAAATGGCGGCATATTTTTCACGGGAAAATCTTTTATTGTTTGTACTGCTACTGACCAGCGGCTGAACCAGGCCTTTTGCAAGTTCCGCGTGACCGTGAAAAGTAAGTCCACACATATTTGAAGCAATGAACTGAGAAACAAGCTTAAACAATTCTTAGGTTTCGTTAACATTTAGGATCAAGCCTTAATGTTATCTGCACGTCAAGCCACCGTTCAGGCTGACAAATTTTTTGAACGCGTTTAGTAAGATTTATTTGCCCACAACAACGAAAACTGGCATTAAATGAGCACAGACTACATGATTAACCGGCAAACAACTGATTAAGGAAGGAATTATTGACTATTGCTTTCCTTGTATCAACATGATGATCTTTACGCGTGTAGGCAAAGTCAATCAGAATGCCAAAATTCTTAATACTTCATGCAAAATGGTAAATAATGTACCTTCTCACCGGAGATGGTCAAAATTTATGCATTCTGATTGGGTTACTGAAAATGTAAACAATCTTGGTAAATGGTCTAAAACGAAATTCCCCCTTGTTGGCTTGTGCTGCACTGCACAGGCCTAAGTTGTTTGTAATTAATTGAAAGGGATTGAAATTAATTGTAATTAATATTAGGGCATAGATATAAAAGGGTATGGGTAAAATAAAGCTTGTATAGATATGTAATAATTTTTCTTTGTTTTTTATTTTTAAAGTACCATGCTTCGATCAGTCAAACTTCATAGCAGCACTACCTATGGCAGCATTACTTCCTGGCGTAACCATCCCTGATCCAAGTAACCCATGCAGTGTCTTTGCGGCTAATCCTCAAATGTGTAACCAAATAATTGCACCAGGAGTTCCAGATGATTTCGTGTGGAAAAACATTTGCAGGAAGACTTGCAAAGCTTGTTAAGCTTATCATACCACAACCTAGAAGGTATATTGTCACTTTAAGCCCATGTAATTTCTAAATTATTCATTCTCTGTACATCATTTGCAAAACAATCGATCAAGTCTTATAAGAATCTAGAAATCTTTTGTTAAAAACAGAATTCTAGTTCTTTCCGATGATTTTTTTGAGGTGGGGATTAAAGTGTGACGGTTGGAATAAATTACATGGCCTAATATACAATTCAAATACCTTAATAATAACGCTGTTGGTTATTCATTTGTAAAGAATATTTCTACATAAAAATCTACCAATATGCATGATTGGAAGTTTGAGTTCCAGTAATTTATTTTGACTTAACCTGAATCCACCACCAGTCCACCACTATTTTTTTGCTACAGAACAAAGTCTCCATACTGCCTGAATATGGTGTATATAATATTCATTAAATTGAGACCGAATTGTGTTGAAAATTGTCACTAGCTGTTTTGAGGACTACAGCAGTGTTTTTTCTTTCTTTCTTGCTGTTTAGTTTCTACTCTCATCGCGTATTTCCTGAGGCTATTCCGCGAATTCGTAGTTATTTGTTGATTAAGGTGATTATGTAATATGTTGAATGAAGTCCAGATAAGATTAAAGAATGCATTCAAATGTTTCATTGTTACAATGTATTGTTTATTCCTTGTGATCTATTAACTCAACTCCCGGAAAAGCAGACACATGTATGAATGAAACTTTCTAAGGTTTATTTTTTATAAAAGCTATTTCAAAACAGTGCTCTTATTTTGGAATTTTGGAATTCTTCAGGGAAGAGTTCGATCTCTTTGGAGACTCAATCTTTTTGGAGAATTCAAAAATTGGCAAATTTTTGTTGTCGGTACATAGTTTCTGAACTAACTTTCTGAGTCAAACACCAAAAACTGAAGAAAGTGTGTCTTGAAAACAGATTTGGGCAGTCGTGGAAGTAAAATATGCAGTAGTAAAATGAAATTGAATGTGCGTGATAAAATATATTTTAATGATTTATAATCAACCAAATGAGGCGAAAATCTGGCAAATACAAATCAAACTCGTTCCCAGGGTGTTCCCTCTGGTACAGGTTTGCAATTGGAATCTTTGAGGTGGGTTACAGTCTGTAATGTTACAATGTTTTACGCATTGTTTACGTTTTGAACAAGCATATTAATTTTAAATATATACCAAGAATACATAGTCAAATATTCACCACTATTTCGCAACGGTTATAAATGAATATGAGCGGAAGTTTATGTTCAGGAAAGTAAGAAGCATGGTAAATTTCAGCAATATTAAATCAAGTATAGCTTGAGCATTGTTATGACCAGAACCGATTCGCAGAAGCCAATTCAACCATATCTATATAAGATGCCCACCACACAAACGCTTGCCTGCATTATTGTCTCACAATTTCAAGAAAAATGTTTTAAGATTATCCACTCTCATCTAGTACAGTTCATTATCAATACAAAATTGCTGTTTATTTTAACGACGACTTTATCAGGATCTCATGCGAGCACTATTTGTGCTCTTGACGAAACAACATGTTGACTAATAATATTCTTGTATGTTTGCATGGTGACAGCCGCCTAAGTAATTTAGCTTGTATAGGTACACAACGTTAGTATATTTAATACTGCAAAGCTTTCAGTCCGTTAACCCGGGCCTTATTGCACCGATGAAGGCCCGGGTTAACGGACCGAAAGCTTTGCAGTATTAAATACTTACGTGCATGGTGTACCAACATTCTAAATGACTTAACATGCATGTTGAGTGTTGTTTAAAGATGAAGAATGCATCAGGTGCATGCACATACAGAAAAATTATACAAGTTACTGAAGTACGAAAAACAAAATTTTAAATACAACATTTCTTGGTAATTTAACTCTATGAATCGTAATGATTCATACAAACTATGAATCGTAATGATTCATACAAAAATGGTTGGTCTATAAGCTCCTCGCCTGAGATGCACAAAACTTTGAATTTGAGCAACATATTTATAAATTGACGGATTATTAGAAATGCTAGAGATTAAAAATTCGGTTACCAATGGCAAAGCGCTACAAGCTGTTGCTTATCACGAAGTCTCCGGTTGTGACGGTTTTATGTTTATATCTCTTCTCAATGTATTTTGAAGTAAAACTCAAAGGTCGTTATGTTGGCTGAAATAAAATGCAAATTAGTATAAAGAGACAGCCTTTTTCCACTCATTTTTGCACTCCATGGTAACAGCTACTGATTTGCGTTCTCTGTTTACTTTCTATATTTTCAATTATCTGCAAGATAAACACATTCATCACTTCACATTTCTTATTGAGAAATCATTGAATACTAAACAGATGTTAGATTCCGCATTCGGTTTGAACATCAATTAAGCACCCATGCACAGTGGCGTAGGAACGGGGGGGCACTGGAGGCACGTGCCCCCCCAAGATTTTTCAAGGGACCAAAAGTGCCCTTTTTGTGAAAAAAATGCCTTTTTGGAAGCGAAAAGAAACAAAAAAGTATCTACTATTTCCCAATAATCCTTAAATTGAGAGGGATTTGCAGCCATTTTAGAGGCTTATATCTCAAAATTTTCTCGGGGGAGCATGCCCCCGGACCCCCTAGCAGTACGAAGCCCAAGAAATACGAAAAACGCTCTGCGGTCGGCGGTCCCTGAATCAAACCGTCCCTATATTATATTTTTATTAACCATTTTAAGCGCCATTTTTATTAACCAAAAGTGCCCCTAGAAGCTGGTGCCCCCCCAACCTCTGGATGCTTCCTACGCCCTTGCCCATGCACAGGTTGGGTTTTGGGTGTATCGCGGTGCAAACAGAGAAATTTGCATGAAGATATTATTCATATTCTACATTATCGCAGAACGAACATTCAGCATCTCGTGGCATTATTGTTCTGAACATTAAAAAAGCATTGAACATAGTAATTGTCGAGTCTGTAGCGGAAATTTGCGTTATTCTCCAAAGTGGAAGGCATATGTTATATAATATATATTCTGATGATGCTTACTGTATACAGATGAAACAGACTGTAGTGGGCAACCATTGGTGATCAAAATTACATATTATATACACATGATGAATAAACACGTTTTATTTCTTTCGTATTTTGATTGTTATATTATTAATATCAATACTGCATGTTCGCGTTACAATATGGCTTACGAAATTTTCAAATTCAAGACTGGCTAAATTCCAAAAATTCTTTGTGTGACTGTAAAATTAACGCTGCACTGCAGTGCAATCATGTGAAAGATATTTATGTATTATTCTATATTTTAACATGACAGCCTTCTGATGACTATCCAAACCAAAGTTTGACGTTATACTCATTTTACTGCATGAGGAGAATGCTCTTTAAAATCTCGACTTTTTTCTTTTGACCTCGACGACAAGATATAGTCTATTGAACAAACCATTAATTCCTCCTTATTATAGGAGGAATCAAGAGGAGTTTTTAGAGGCGAATGCTGTGGAGAATAAGCGAGAACGACATATGGACATATATAACTAATTTTAAATTTTTAACCATGCATGCAAATTAAATGAATCTCTCATTGAAAATGAAACATAGCGATAAATTTATCACACACCAGTGCACATTTACATGTAAGCGATAAAGAATGAGCAATAAAAACTAATTTAATTTTTTGTGAAATTGTTTAATCAAATATTTTACGTATTTTACCACCCAAAAAGTGTTAATTATCAATGTTGTGTTGCAATGTTTGTCTACTAAGGCAAGCGTTAATAATTTTGTTTAAGAACCGTAGAATTGTATTTGTCCACTTTTCACAAAACAATTATTCACATCGAGTTTTTGAAATTAAATTCGTTCCCACCGAGACGTTTGAGTAAATATTTGCGGTCAAGTATTATTATTGACTGTTATATATAAAAGAATGCACCGTTATTTCTGCTCTCATTTTTTAGCACAGTTCTATTCAGACGCTTTGCTGGATTCGATCAGGAAAAAAAAGTGAGAAATCATGAATTGGTTATTCTGTCTTGGTGTTTTTGTTGCAACCCTTTTCAGCCATTCAGAAGGTAGGAAGTATGAATAATTTATACTCTTTAATTCTTGTCTAGTTACGCAAATCACACGCGATATACTGCCGCGATTGACGAAAATTATTAATGAATTATATACAGTAAGCCTATGCATAAAGATATAAAAGCCATTTTCGGAGATTATAGTAACTTATATTAGTTATATATACCTCGATTCGATCCATACCGATAAACCTGTCGCGTTCTGAATGCCGGTGTGGCTACAAGGACGTTTAATGCTTGATCTTGAATATAACTATCCAGTAATTTTAGTTTATAATGCATGTAAAACACAATTGATAATACTTAGGTATAACAAATCATAATATTTTTGTTTTTAATCTTAGACGGCCATCTTTACCCAATGTATATATCTTATTTTCACTAATATTAGCGATGGTCAGATGCAACTTTCCCGGACATCCAAAAAATGGCAACTTGGACGGAGATTGGGTGAATCGTCTGGAAGGAACGTCACTAAGGCTTGTATGTGATGAAGGATACGAGTTAAAGGGAGTGGGGGAGGTCGTGTGCAAAAATGGAAAGTGGAGTGCAACTCTTGGGACATGCGAAGGTTTGAAGAGTTACGAATCTATGTAAACTAGGACTTACTCTGTGAAAATAGGACTTACTCTTAGCCGATAATAATCGATGATGATACTTTCCAAATTACAGTAGTGGTATAGTTTTACACAAGTATATGTTGTAGCTTGACGTTGCAAGAAATAGTAAACTGAGTGGGATGGACTATGGTTTGAAGTTTTTAAATTTCAAAAGCACACTTTGAAATGAGGGCAATATTCTGTCCTGAATATGAACGGAACTGAATATATAAATAAACATACCCCCAATTATCGTTCCAGTTACGGCCTCTGTTGAAATGTATTTGATTATTCATTTGTTAGTTAGAAGACTTAGCGATAGGATATTTCTACAGTTTAGAGTTTAGACCGGCAAAAATATACGGATGACTTCATTTTCTGCACTACTAGTTTGCTATGTTCAACATTATAATATTTATTTCTAACAGTGAAGGCATGGTAATAAATTATCTTACTTTTATCACTTAAAAAGCTGTGATGTGCCAACCGCCAAAGACAAGCCGCCTATCAATTTCTGATCCACCAAGTTGTTTGACAGGACCAACCCCCTACGGTACACATTGTAAGATGTCTTGTCCCTCAGGATATCTTGACAGTGCGGTGTTGTATTGTAATAAAGAAGCGAAATGGGAGGGGCGTGATGTCGTGTGTAAAGGTAGGCTACTGATCTCAAATAACTTTATTGCACAACCTAATGTAATTTACTTGTATATCATAATGATATATGCATACATTTCACTATCCCTGTGTCCATTGTGTCTTCGTATTTTTTACTTTATTTGATGCAGAAAATTGGTAACATTCGTCTAATAAGGACATTAGGATAACCCTGTCATCACAATTTGGACAGAAAAAATACAATCGAATTAATAAACAACCATACTAACCCACAGCATGCCAAACAGATTCATCTTCAACAGATATTCTTCGTAAGAATAATCCGAATCATTTATCCGAGTGTTAATCCGAATATTTCGTATGAAGTTACCAAGCGATCTGAAATGGCGTGAACGGACTGGAACCAGCTGTAAAAAAGTCTATTTATCGGTTGAAACAACTTAATATCTCTTGAAATGTGCGTTATTTCGGTTTCAAATTTATGTCAAAGCAATATTTCTTACAACTAAAGTTTCTTATAACAAAATTTCGACCGGTTTCATAAAGAATAACAGAAGATATAAATTCATTAACTACGGTAGAGTGGATTTCTATTTCGAAAAACTTTCTGAGCGCACTTTCTCAATTTTCTTAACTAGATAATGAGGCACCTTTCATTGAATGCCCAAAACGAAGTGACGAGGTGACCGTACTGAAGACAGACCCAGGAATTTCCACCACAACAATTCGTCTGCCAACTTTAAAGTATAGCGATAACTCGCACAACACGGAGGAAGATTGGACTTCAGCGTGACCCTGAATGGTAAACCTATTACCGTCCCAAAAGAATTAAAACTGGGCATAACACGTTTCCCAATAGTTGTGAAGTATCTTGTGAGGGATGAAGCTGGGTACCACGCAGAATGTCGTTTGAATTATCGCGTAGTTGGTAAGATGAAGTGAAAATGTAAGGGTTTTTAGTAAAAGCCTCCGGACCATTTAATATTTCAGGAGATGGTTTTAAAAGCATTTTTTAGCAATAAGAATTTATATAAACACTCTTTGTCGGTTCTTAAGGCGCTGTTACACTATGCAATTTTCCTTGCGACTTGCAATGAAATTGAAATTTGAAGGATGTTATAATTAGTAAAGAGTTTTCGAAATGTTCTTTGCACGTTAGCAGATCGTAAGAAATGTTCGTACTTGAAAACTTTAGATGCCTCAGGAGTAGAATGTTGCAAGTTGCAAGAAAAGTTGAATAGCGTAACAGCGTCTTTAATGAGAAGGTTTTTTTTGTTTATTTTCGATAAAATCAACATCATGTAATTTTTTGTTCAGATAACAAACTGTTTGTCCGTTACTTTTGCTTTCATTAATATCCCACTCATTTCTAGACAAAGAGCCACCAAAATTCGAATACTGTCCAGACGACATCGTCAAGACAACGAGCAGCAATGATGCGCGGGTAATTTGGAAAGAACCACGAGCCACGGATAATTCGGGTGATGTTCGTGTGTTTTGTGACCGCCCGAATGGCGCCGTATTTTATGAAGGAAGTTCATCGGTCACTTGTACTGCTATCGACAACCAGGGTAACAAGGCCGAATCTTGCGTGTTCAAAGTGATCATAAAATGTAAGTAACAACATAGGCATGCAGTCCAGAAATATATTCGTTGTCGTGGCGCTCGTGTACGCGAGTCAACTCAGTCTATTATTATGACAACAACATTAGCACAGAATACCTATCAGAAGGACAACTCTATTGTTTTTTATAAGTGTGATTCGTCACTAAGCAAGTACCGTAAATAGAGGAAATCGCTCCCCTGCCAATATTATAAATGATGCCATTTTAGACAGCCAAAACTCGTTGCAAATTTCGTACTCGAAAGCCCAACGACTACGAGCAAAGAGGAAAGTATATTTACTCTTTGCTACGAGTTTTGGCTGACGCTGCTTAGCTAAGACCCCAATATATTCACGAGTGCTCGATTATTATTTACATTGTATCGCTTATAATGAATATTTTATTGCATAACCCACAAATGCAACGTTAAATATTTTACCATTGAAGCGCCTGGGTACGAGGCTGCCCCAGATTAACTAACTCTAAAACACTTGAATTATTTAACTGCCTTATATTATTCCTATTCAATTGTGGTTTTTTGACTTGTAATTGAACGGTTATTTCACCGATAGAGACGTTTAACGTGGATTCGGCTATGATCATAAAAGAGTCTAGATAAAAAGAGTGCATATTAAATGACTTTGTGTATTTTTTTTGGTTTGTTTTTTTTTTTTTTTTTATCTTTTAGTACGTTGCATCGATCATTCAAATTTCCCCATAGCACAACTACTTCCTGGCGTAACCATCCCTGATCCAAGTAGCCCATGCAGTGTCTTTGCAGCTAATCCTCAAAAGTGTAACGAAGTAGTTGCACAAGGACTTCCAGATGATTTCGTGTGGAAAAAAATTTGCAAGAAGACTTGCAAAGCTTGTTAAGCATTCGAAGAAAAAGCCTGAAGGTGTGACTATTTCAAGGCCAAACACGATAAACTCAGTCAATTTAAACTTACCACTTCATAGACACTTCCCGAATTTGTTCTCGGGCAATGAAAACCATCCCACAAACACTAGATTACGTTGCTCGCCTCGTTTATTGTTTTGTGTCCACTCAAGCAAATTCGGGAAGAGTCTATTGTTACGTATTACTTTCTTAATACACTATTGCTACAATTCGAGTAAGGCAAAACTGATCGATCAAACCCTGATCAAACCGAGCTTTCGTCGAAAATAATATTCTAGTTTTCATAGATGTCTTCACGTTTGCTGAGAATTTTACTATAACTGAAGAAGTCTCAAGTTAAAAAATAATGCATGTGGCAGATAAATCATATCAAAAAATGAAATTCTACAGAAATACGTAAAATGTTTGTTACTGATTGTCAGTGATCGAGGACTAACAGTGTTTCCTTTTTTTTCTTTCAGCTCTTATGCGTATTTCCCGTGGTTAATCGTAGTTAGTTGTTGACAATATACTCAATGAAGTCACATTAAAAAGCATTAAAAAATAATTATTGTAAGTTTGTTACCTTACGTTTCTTTATGTCCGTGTGTTGTTTTTTTTTCTTGGAGTGGTGTCTGGGGTCTCTAGAAACCAACCTCCGGCAATTTGGAGGGGAGCAATAAGTGCAATTTGTGCTTGTGGATCGGGTAATTTTCGCCTGCGCCGTCTCAATTTTTATGCCCGCATCACGCCTGCTGTAAATTTAAGCAGTTGCTTGCTACATAACGTATCTCATGCCTTCAAGAAAGTTACCGCTAACCATGCTGCTCGAAGGCTCATCTTGATGTAAACAATTTTTTTAAAGAACAACGTGTCAGAAAATGGCATTAAAACATGTCTTAGAGGAATTCATAAAAAGTCTTTATTCTTGACAATGTTTGTGGCCAATTACTTTGCCCACGACGAAAACATCATTCCAGATATGTCACCAAATCGATTTACAAAATTTGGTAAATGATATTAACCTAAACACCGAAATGGTGCGAATCGCGGTACCCGAGAAGACTGCGAATGTAAATGGTGAATTTTGGTCATCGAGGGAAAGAAAGTATTGGACTATAGCATTGTTTTTTGGTCTAATGTTGCTATTTATGTCGAGGACGGTTGGCCCGGTAACTATGGTGGCGCTGGCTAAAGAATTTCAATGGAATAAAGAAGTTCAGGTACAGTATAAGCTAATTTAGGGAATGAAATTTGGTGTACTTTGAACCTCACACAACTCGAGAGTTCTGGACAGTGAAAAAATCTTGTCTAGACTATTTTTACACACACTTCGAAATAAACTATCCTCTAACCCTGAACTCTTTCAATCAAAAGAAAAACTAAATAAATAAATATATGGTAGCATTTTCTATAAACAAGTTTTTGGAAAAAGAAAATTTATTTTGCCAGTAAGGAGAAGTTTATTCATGTGCAAATATTCACAAATTGCAAAGATAGTTTGATTCCAATATATAACCACATCTGAAAGAATAATTATAGAATACCCTGCCATGCACTAAAATAACATGTTCCAGTATAAATAAAACCACACAGTAAACTTTAATAAAATCAACACATATATATATATATATATATATATATATATATATATATATATATATATATATATATATATATACGCAAATTTTGATCTGTGCGTACTGAATATATATTAATATATATATATATATATATATATATAATTATATATATAAGAATGATACAGAATGCTTAAAAGAAAATATAGTAAGACAAAGCTGACCCACAGCCACAAATAAAAAGTTCTTGTAGGGGATGAAGAAGTTTATGCTTAAATTGAGAGTTAACTTTGTGTCCAGGGTATATTCTATAGTTGCGCTCCTTGACAATGTATTTTTTTGTCAAGTTTATTTCTTTGTGTGGAGAACATTTTTTCTGATCAGCCATTCACATGACCAGTTTACCTGGTTCAAATTCTTGGCATTACCTGCTTTTGAACCAGGTTGCTTGTCAATGAAAACTCAACATTTTACAAGTCAGGAAACACAAGTAAAACTGCTTGTCTGTATCAGGCTTTACATTAAACAATTATCAAATTAATCCCTAAAATAAATTTTCAAAAACAGTGCAAGGGGGGAGGTGCCTCCTGTTTTCAGAAGTGTTTTTTTATTGTTTTTTAATTTAGCTCAAATTGAGTAACACTTGGGGGATAGAGTAAAAGTTATAAAGTTTATTCCAGACCTTCCTAGAAATTTCCCCTTTAAAACAAATCTCCTAACGCAATATGTATTTTAAATTACAGGGTTCTGTACTTTCTACATTTTTCTGGGGTGCAGCAATGAGTCATTTTCCCAGTGGCTGGTTAAGTGACATTTATGGTGGAGATAATGTTCTATTCTGGACTTGCACATCCTGGATAACCGTAACATTTGTTACGCCATTCGTGCTTCGCTCGCCATATCTATTGGTGTCATCGTCAACAATGTATTTATTTTTGAGGTTTTTCATGGGATTCTTCCAGGGGGCATTCTCTGGTTCAATGGCAAGTTTATTAGGGAAAAAACTTGAGACATCCCATAAGTCATCCACAAATGGGATTATCAATTCTGGTGCTTGTATTGGGTAAGCTAAAATCATTTTGGCAATTCATTGCTGTATAGAAAATAGAGAAGTCATTTGAAGTCATCTGAAAAAGAACAGCCTAGCTTGAAAAAATATTTTACTTTTAATTTTTTTCTCTTCCCCTCCTTTCATTTCTGTGGTCCTTAGAAGTTAGAAGATTTGATCAGTAATATTTAGTTTTTAAGTATTGTCTACCCTTTGTGCCAGTTCTGTAGTTATTGGTGTTGCTGGTTCACTGTTATTGGACAATGTTGATTGGGGCAGTGCTTTCTACTGTGTTGGTATTGCTGGAATAACATGGTTAATCATCTGGAGGTTCACATTGTTCAATAGAGGTGACTTGAAACAACCAAATGATGAGCAGGGGCAGCAGTCAAGTGGTAGTAAATTCCTGTCAGTTCCATGGCTGTCATTTTTATCACACTGTCCATTATGGTAGGTTGACAAAGTATTTAAAGTTATATTAATTAGTGCATTAATGTTAGTGTTCACCTGGTGACAGTCACTGAAACTCTAGTGTGGACATGTGGCAATTATCCCTAGATGTTCATCCATTGAGACCCAAGGGGCCAGGAAGGTTTTCTGTGTATTTGCATTGCGAAGATTTGTATCTACTGAGTTTAGTGAGATATGAGCAAGGGATAAAGACTACTGAAGGAAGTATAAGGTAGAAGTAGATAGAGATAGTTATATAAGGTAGAAGTAGTTAGAGAAAGTATAAGGTAGAAGTAGTTAGAGGAAGTAGAAGGCCATTTCAAGTGATCTACATTCTTTAAATTTAAAAGTTGTTTCATTTGAAATAATTTGAACACCCATGGTTAATTCCTTCCTTGAGAGCGTAAACTATCCCACAACAGTTGCAATACAACTCTACGACCATTGTAGATATTTGTTGTTCCCAAATGAGTTTCCCTTCTCTACTTGCATGTTGCTAGAGTTTTTTCCCAATATACTGTGGTGAGGAGTTCGACAACAAAAAACTTGCGTACCATATTTAAACCCACTGTTAACACTGTTACATTGTTTTAGGGCAATGATTTTTGCAGATATATCGATTTCAATCTGTTTTCATGGTTTATCAACATGGCTTCCTAGTTATTTTCATGATACATTTCCACAGAGCAAAGTAAGCATCCAAAGTTCTCAAATACGAACATTTCTTACGATCTACTAATGTTTTCTTAGCATTTCGAACTCTCTGTACAAATTAACATCTCTCAAAATCATAATTGCATTAAGCTTAAGACGTGCAAAGTTTGACAGCAGTGTTGGAGGAGAGGTGCTAACCATCCAACACTTTAAATAAGGGAAACGGTTTCGTAGCTGAACTGTGAATACCCCGAAAATTATAGCTGTCAAGCCGTTGTTATACATACTGTTATTTCATCTTCAGGGTTGGATATTTAATGTAATTCCTTGGCTTATTAATTCACCTTGTGCGTTTATTTCTGGTATTTGGGCTGATTATTTGCTTCACAAAGGTAAATGATACGTACATACATGTACACTTTGCTAGGTTTTGAAAACATTCAATGTATATACATGTACACTTTATTAGGTTTTGAAAACATGTAATGTACATAGCTATAGCTACATGTACACTTTATTAGGTTTTGAAAACATGTAATGTACATAGCTACACATGTTCACTTTATTAGGTTTTGAAAACGCATTCAATATACATACATGTACACTTTATTAGGTTTTGAAAACACGTAATGTACATACATGTACACTTTATTAGGTTTTGAAAACATGTAATGTACATACATGTACACTTTATTAAGTTTTGAAATAATCATGAAAAATACGATGTCTAAATGCTATGATCACTGAATCCGAATCACTGTTGCTTTCCTAAACATTTTCCCCCCTCCCCCAATTTTTGTATTAACTGCATTGTGCATATCTACAGGTTATTCTCTTACATGCGTTAGAAAATTCTTCAATGTAAGTTTTCTCTTGTTTGTTTTTTGCATGCTAGTTTAGATATTTCACCAGAAAGATATGTATATATAGCTCTTTTATTTGTGGCAAGTCCAACAGTGTTGATCTAAATGCATATTTGCACATTTCTCTTCCATTATCGCGATGTTTTTTGCTTGTAGATACTGGCTCAACTTGGTGCAGCTTTTTCCTTGATATTACTCAGTCATTGCGAATCATTTCCACTTGCCTTGATGTTTATGACCCTCGCAATAGGCATGACTGGGTTTCACAATGCTGGTGGTATGGTCTTGCCTCAGGATATGGCTCCGGAATACGCGGGTTCCGTGGCCGGATTCTCAAATACCGTATCGACCTTTTCTGGTACGTTTCTTGGATATACATGAATAAAGCCCCGTTTACACTGTGCTCACTTTATTGGCACAGTACGGCTAAAATGGGCACCAGCGCTCATTTTATCCGTCTCCGGCCTTTGTATATTGTTATCCTGGGCAGTAATAATAATGGGCACGGGTACCCATTTTAGCCGTGTCGTGCCAATAAAACGACTGTAGTGTGAACGGGTCTTGGAACGGCTAATGGGACGTATGACAACGGTTGAGGCTCTCTCCGGCTGTAAATCTTAATTTATTACCAGCTTTCGGCTGTGAGTCTCATATATTAGTATAAAATAGCACACTGTGTTTAACTTAATGCTTGGTTAAAGTCAATATTAAACGCATCAGACCTCATATATTTTAACCTATACAGTTGTGTATACCGTATTTTCCAACATCCTTCAATTTTGTGGGCGATTTTTTTCTCTAATTTTTAATGTATAAACGAGCGAATGGTCATCACTGCTTTTAATGTGTATAAAAGATCTTATCTGAGCGTCAATAATGCCTGGTTTCCATTTTTAGTCGTGTGTGTCGTGAACGTGTCGAGGTGACTGACGTTATAGAATAACTCTAGTGTGTGCAGGCAACAAACACGACAACTGCGACTAAATGGAGACCAGGCTTAAGTCGTAACGTAACCCGCAAAATCACTGAAAGTGTAAATGCTTGAAACCGTCCATCAATGTAACATGTCTTCCACCCTTTATCCATCATTGCATAACATGTCTTCCACCCTCGATCCATCAATGTAACATGTCTTCCAAGCCTTTATCCATCAATGTGACTTGTCTTCCACCATTTATCCATCAATGTAACATGTCTTCCAAGCCTTTATCCATCAATGTTGCTTGTCTTCTACCCTTTATCCATCATTGTATAACATGTCTTCCACCCTCGATCCATCAATGTAACATGTCTTCCAAGCCTTTATCCATCAACGTAACATGTTGGATTGAGAACCCCTTGAACATATATTTTTTCTTTCTACTAACAATAATGTGTCTATTTTCTCTCCATAGTATTCGGTGCTATATACTTTTCTGGTCACGTCCTAACTGCCTCTCAGAGCTGGCCTCTATATTTCAATGTAGTAGCTGGAGTATGCATCCTGGGCTGCGCTATCTTTACGATATTCGCCTCCGCTAAAAGGATTCAATGACCGATGATAATGTGAAGCTCAAATATCTGCATGTAAGTTTATCCTCGTTGAGTAGAAACATGCATGATAATGGGCTATTCGGTTTTAATCGGTACCGGAAGAGTGTCTGTGTATTTTAACCTGGGGAAATGCTGCCTCACCTGCGCTATATTCTACCGCAGTTCGAGAGGTTTTTATGCATTTGAAATGATTGGCGGAAAAGGCGGAAAAATGTCGAGTCAATCATCAAATATTTAGACTCTTGTTTTAGAAATTAGAATTCCTCGATAATAATAATTGTTTCGTTTAAAACGGGAATCTACAGAATGAGTTTCCAGGATTAAATTACCTTTTTTCTTGGTTGCTTTTCTGTTCAAGACTTTAGAAAATAAAATCTCTATATGTAAAGATTTCTGAGAAAGAGAGAAGATTTCTAGGCTTAAAATTTTCAATTTTATATTTTATAACAGTAGATAGATAATTTATCTTAATTATTTCAGGTCAGGTTTTTGTGTCAGTAACAAAACCTTATGTATGCATTTACAGTATACGTATATAGTCATAGCTATTGATATACAATTATCATAAGAGTGTTAAATATATGATTAAGCATTTACCATGCATCTGGTAACTTGTTACATAACCATAAATCAAGAACAGCAAAGGAAAGTCGCTATAAAATGTCCTCCGTAAATTAAGTTGTTAAAAAATAAGGAAAGAATGTTCAGTGAAAGAATTTGCATGAAGTAATCTAAAATTCTAAATTTCCGTCGAACCTTGACGATTTAGTGATGTTGGTTATATATTTGACACCAAAGAAGTGCATGTATATTTTTAATCTATTATTTTGTTCTTTACTATTCACTTACATGTAGTTGTTCCAGAATCCCTTTCAAGCTGATAATTTCAGCAAATATAAAACAAAGGTTATTCCGAAAACACTCATTGTTGAAAATAAGATATCTTCCAAAATTTATGATTTACACAATGAGTATTTTTGGAATAACCTTTGTTTTATACATGTAGTTTGCCTGACAAATAACAATCACCGTATACATGCACCATTGCAAGGGTGGAAGCTCGAATAATTATATCGAGTTGCACAACATTAATGAATAAATATAAATGTATAGAAATATAAATATTTATTTAATAATGCCATTTTGCAATAAATATACGGACATAACGCAATGCATGCAATATCGTCTATCTTTGGTTATAAGGTAATACGTCACACATTCCCCAATCATGCAGTGGTTTGATAATAGAAAGTTTTAGTTTGACTTTTACGGCAAACCGCTGTTTCGCGTTAGTGGTTCGACCTTACCGTTTTTACTACTTTAATTCGCATTAAGTTCGGTGTCAAAATTGGCATTATATAAAGAATTTCGCTGTTAAATTGCTTTCAGTTGTTTCAAACGCTTGATAATTTTTTTGATCAAAGATCGTTACATAAGGGTTGCATGACAAACCGCCGTATTTCCAAACGTATTAGAGAGTTTTAGACGTTTAGAGCAAACCGCGGATTCACGGTAGCAGTTGACGTTGCCGTTGTTGCAAATTTGACATTTAGTTAGCAGTCACTTACCTATACCTGATGTTACAGCGATTCAAAATTGGTATTTAGTATTCCGTAGTACTATCTATGTCTAGTGCTCCATTTTTTTAAATCAAATGTCGTTTAAACTTGGGTCACAGAATACCTATCAAAAGGACAACTCTATTGTCACTCTTTGCATTTTGCTAATGTTTTCGTGTCCGAAATTTTTCAGAAGTGCCCACGTCATTCTACGCAATTCTTCGTTACGGTACTTGCTGAGTGACGAATCATGACGAGTCCTTCCGATAGGTATTCTGTGCCTGGGTTGAAAAGAACCTCTATTAATTAAGCGACTATCGAACTAAGATATCATGGTAAACCGCCATATTTCCAGCTGTGTTATTGAAGAAAAATCTTCAAGAAAATCGGTAAAATCATTGAAAACAGGATAGAAAATTACCATAGAAAAATTGCATATCCAATTGGTCTACTATAGAAGTGTTTAAACGTGAAACGGGCACTAATGCAATGTGCAAAACGAGGTAAATAACCTGCGTGAGGTAAATAACCTACGTGAAAATAGACCCCTAGCGGTTGAAACCGTGAACCACAAAATTTCAACGTCAAGCCGCGTGCATACACCTTGAAAACAAGCTAGAGAATTACCACAAAACACGTGACACAACTGCAATGAAAAATTGCTGAGGTAAATGAGGTACGTTAAATACACTTATACAGCGTTAAAAACCGTAAACTGCAAACGGCAAAATCTGAACGCCAAGCCGCGGTTCAGCGATGTAGGAAAACACGTCAAGCTACAACTTTCTACTTAAGAGGGAGAATTAATTAAATTACCCTGATCTCTGTTTTTCTCTCCTAGTCTGAATACACATGCATGTGCAGTCCATTCATGCAAATCATGAAATGCGTCTGAAGAAGTTAATTCGTTGTCCCTATTTGTTTTATCTTCGCTATCATTCATGCAAATGCAGGAAGCGATAGTCTCTGAAATGATTTTTGAGAATCCCTTTCCGACAAGATGTCCAGCGAAGGTGCCAATCAACTCTCCGAAGTAACTTCCAACAAAGGGAATAGGGATGAGGGGACCAATTAATGTTCCCCCAATGCTGAAGCCCGAGCGAATTAAGGCCAACACCACAGCTTCTATGACTGCTTTAATATATTCTGCTCTGGAGGTTATCAATACTCCATTTTCCCACTTTTCTCTTGCGTCATAAATGCTTTTTGCAGCATTAATGCTTTCGGCAAGTACAGACAAAACTATTCCAAAGATTGGATCATTTTCTAAATGTAGTAAAATCGCCAACTTGGGTTTTATATTGAGGTAAAACAGTTGGGTTGGGTAAAACAGTGGAAGCGAAACAATGCGAAACATACTTTTTAAAAGCAGAAAGTACCTTTTGAAAAAGCCTGCCTCCATGCCTCGGTTAAAGAATTCGTTTTCCAAAACGTGGTGTTGACGAGACAAAATTTTATGATTTTCTGAAGAACTTGCTGCAATCCTTTAAAGAACGTACTTGTAATGCCAGATACAAATTCGACAAGAGCGCTGATGAATGATGTCGCTTGCAGACTGATGTTGCAATCACATATACACCACATCACAAAGGACTCGCAATTATTGTTTATCAAATCATACAAAGTCTCATCTTTTCTTTTTCTTGCTCGTTTAATGACCTAAAAGTAGAGGCGAATTTACAATTGCTGAAATGAGTGATCTCACTATGATAGTTTCGCGCAAATTTTTGAAAACAATTGTGCAAATGTCTCATTTAGATATGACAGCCCGGCAAGCCGAGCTGGCGCGTTTGCATGTCTAATCGAAACGTTAAAATTATACATAGGAAACGGGCCAGCACGATAAACCGGGCTAGCCTCCATGTAATCGGCCTCTTAGTTTGTTTATATCAATGTCTGATGCCACACACACATGCATAGTCATCGGCTTTATTTGGTAAACACATGCGTACGCATAGGCTTTATTTGCTGAAAATTGATCCTTGGTCATTTCATATAATTCAAAACCAACTAGAACATAAATATTTTCTTAAAACATCAGTTAAGTTATTTATAAAATTTTAATTGTTTTTATGAGTTCTTTAACCTTACTTCTGAGACAAGATTTGGATGGCATACTAAGCAATATGCAACTATTATTTCAGATATTCACGACGATACATGCACCTGCTTGAAAAATAATATGGGACTAAACTTATTAAAGTGGGACTAAAGTATTACCTCTTCAACAGGATAACGTTTTAATTCATCTGGCCAAACAACCCTTTCGACTTCGCCGCCTTTCTCTTGTAACTCACATTCGCTTTTGATGAAATCTTCATGCGGCAATGAATATTCCTGAACACTAGCAATTTGCCCTTTAGCGGACCCTGAACCGAAGGATAATGTTGTAAATATCTGCTTTATTGCATTAGCTGGAGTGTTATAGTAGTGAGTTATAATTGGCTTTCCTTCGCTATCGCGTCCAGTGCAAAGGAAATGATGGTAATACAATGCGTTTTTCGTAAATGGACTAGGCGCTTTTTTCACCAAATGATCGCCAATTTTAATGTCTGAAAATTTGTTGATCGGCTCCCTTGCTTGTAAATGCCATTTCAGAAATTTCTTTTGATTTTTTTCACTACGCCTCTTGATATCTTTCCAAATTTCGTCATTAAAAGTGATCTCATTCTGTGTCATTCTGCAACATGTACAATATACATGTACATGTACAGTCCCTGCAATAATAAAACCAATTAACCAATATTCTTTTCGTCTGCCTTATATATAAAAAAATATAAGGAAAGGGATTTCCCTGAACACACAAGGGGGTTTCCCTGAAAAGAGAAATCCGGCCCTTTAACCCCTATAATTTCATTTGTTGATTGCGTCAAAATTGGACTGCATGGGTGAATTACACACCGGGTGTACTAACTTCATAATTCGCAAAATTTTTCAAAGCTTTCAGCATCCTGCGTATGGTTTTGGCCACTGGTAGACATGCAAACTTCTGTGGGGTTTCCCCAATATAAATATTGCATGCGGACTGCCAGCTGGTGAGGTTAAGATAGTAGTGTTATACAACACTACTTAAGATTCAAAAGTAAATTAATTCTGTGCGCTTTTCTTGGAATTCAGAATATTCCTAACTGATTTTTCCAGTATTGATTTCTCCGGTAATAAATTATGTATAGTATATAAAATTGTTTCCTTGCTTTTCTCAACGGTTGATCGCCAACTTTAAAGTGGAAGTCAAGTCCGTATGTTTACAAACGGTTTGTTTACATTTTGAACTTCCTAACTTCTTGAAACACGTTTTGCTGTCTGAATATCTAACAACATTTAGGTTCGCTATGCCTTTAAATAAATTGTGAACTATAGTTGTTTTGATGAGAAAAAATTTAAAAACATTCGAAATTTGGGCAAAATATTGATGCTTGGAATATTGAAACAGGGTAGACATCTTGTTCTGTTATAATGTTGTGTACACTGCACATTTTCCAACATCCTGCAATCTTCGTCTTTTATTTTTAATATGTTCAAACAAGCGAACGGTTGTCACTGCTTTGCTGTAATGTCTAGCAGACTTTATCTGAACGTCCTTAATGCCTGTTCAGAGTCGCGAGGGTGGTGACCATGTCAAGTGGCTGATGCTATAGAAAAGTGCTGGTCATATCTACAATTATATATAGATAATAAATAAAACAACAAATTTCAAGTACGATTTATCTCGCAATAATACAAGTGCTTGTCATATCTACAATTATATTTACTTAACTATAAATAATAAATAAAATAATTTATCTCGCAATTAAGACCCGATATTAACCCGAGATGCGTAACAAAGTTTAGATGTGGTTAAACTACTCCCACCATGCAAACACATGCAATGATAATAATAGACCTTATGCATAAAGACGTAACAAGCTGTGACACCTGTAGGGAATTCTGGTCTTAGTAGTCACGGCAGGAAATTTTGAAGTTTGAATTTTTCCCCGTGACTACTAAAACCAGAATTCCCTGCAGGCATGATGGCTTGATACGTCATTATAATGCAAAAGGTCTATTACCAGGTGAACAAGCGCTAGAAAATACTGTTTTCAAACTAGGTCAACTTAATTTATCTTAATTTCTCTACACTTTATGTTGGTTTCAAATTAAGTTAGCACTGTTGACGTTCTTGTAACTAAACATAAACAAAATTTTACTTTAGTATCATATAGTTTCAAAAAGAAGGTTTGAAGGGTCCTAATTTCGAGTGGAATTACACACTGAATCCAAGTCCAATCCAAGTGGAATCAGAGCATAACTGTTTTTTATTATAACTTTAATGAAAAGAAAAAAGTATATTAACGTTAGCCGTTCAACACAAGATCTAGTAGTCTTGTGGCGAAGACAGTGTATTCCCAAGTGGTAGGTTGATGGTTCGAATCCAAGCATAACTGTTTTCATTATAACTTTAATAAATAGAGTAAAGTAAATCAAAAAATCACAGCCGCTCAGCCCATGATCTCGAAGTCTAATGGTGAAGACAATGGTCTCCCAAGTGGTGAATCGCTGGTTCGAATCTTACCATAACCGTTTTTTCATTATGAACTTCGTGAAAAAGATGAAGTAAATTAAATAATCATAGCGTTCAGCACATGATCTCGTAGTCTAGTAGTGAAGACAATGGTCTCCCAAGTGGCAAGTCGATGTTTCGAATCTTACCATAACCGTTTTTTCATTATGAACTTCGTGAAAAGGTTAATGTAAATAAAATAATCATACCGTTCAGCACATGATCTCGTCTAGTCTAGTGGTGAAGACAATGGTCTCCCAAGGGGTAAATCGATTGTTCGAATCCTACCATAGCCGATTTTCACTATGAACTTCGTGAAAAGGATAAAGTAAATTAAGTAACCGCAATCGTTCAGCAAAAGATCTTGTAGTCTAGTGGTCAAGATGTTAGTCTCATGAGTGGACAGTCGAAGGTTCGAATCTCGTTTTAGATCGAAATTTTCGTTATTAATATTACATGATACGGTTATGGTGAATAAGTTGGTGTAGGCTTCCAACAATCACAGTTAGCCTTGTGGTAAAGTCGTGGACTATCAGGTACAAGATCGAGGTATCAAGAACAGGATGGTATGTTTCTCATGGCGGTAAAAGAAACCTCTCTCGGGGGAGGTTTATACTCGGTTAATCTTTGAAAATCAAATTAATCTTTAGGGAAATCAGGGGATGTGTAGGGTGAATGAGGGGTATATGAGTACAAAAAGACTTAGTATTAGGGCGGCCACGGCTCCCGGGGGCAGGAAGGGCAGTCACAGCTCCCGGGGGCAGGGAGGAGGGTATAGGTGAGAAAACACTATATAAAAAGTTTAAGTCTTTTTGTACTCATTTAAACCTCTTTACCCCTATTTATCCTCCTATTTACTCCTATCTATCCCAACTTTTTCTTATCCTCATATATCCCTAACTATCCCCTAACACAATTAAATGTTTGAAGAAAGCTTGCTTTGAAAGTCAGGAAAGCCGGGGGAAAGAGAACCCCCCTCAGTCTACTCCTCGCCCAAGGCGAGGGCATATTCGCCCTCTCGCTCTACTCCTCTCACACTCACAAATTCTCACTTTATTACCTTGATCTTTTTCGGTTTAACCAGGACTTGAACCATCGACTGTATACTTGGCAGATCATCGTCTTCACCACTACACCACCAGATCCTGTGGTGGAAACCTACATTTTTTTATTTTACTTAATCCTTTTTTGAAAGGATCTTTGAAATAATAGAAGAGAAAAAGATTCCCGTCGGGGACTCGAACCACCGCCTTTAATTCGGGAAGCGATGTCTTCACCAATAGACCACACGAAACTGCGGTGAAAAGCTACACTTTTTATTTCACTTAATACTTTTTTGGTAGGATCCTAACAATTTCAACGAGTTCATATTAATTTTAATTATTTATCTTCTCGTCTAAAACACACACAACTGTATCTTATATTCGTCGCGTTTAGTTAATATATCAACCATTTCTGTCGACGCTTAAAAATATCACATACATGTATGCAGTCCCTTGCGCAAAGTAGCACTATCTTACTATAAGCTTCGTTATATGTGACCTAGGTGAAGCTAACGGTTACGGTGCCATTGTTTTGCATTTTCAATGAAGTCAACTTTAAAAAAAGTATAAGAATTCAATAACAATGTATTTCAAAATAAGTTTGAAAGAAAAAATTCAAATAATTAATAATGTATCTTAATGTATATGTATGATGTATCTTAATCTTAATGTACATGCACCTCGTACTCTAGTAGATGACATTCGAAATCGCCAATGAAGCAAATATCCAGTTAAGCAGACATTGACAATTTATTTCAAGACATTTTTGTATAAAGAGTCGAAATACTAGCTGGTCTAGCTGGTTCGCAGAATATTAAATACTATAAGCTAATACTTGAACCTTTATAATTGAATTTAAGAGATCAACGTCTTAACCACTACTATAGACGACCATATCAATTGTCGATAAGCGGCTATTGTTCTTTATTTTACCTAATCCTTTCTTCGAAGAATTTTTAAATAAAATAATGGGCGCTTCTCTATAAACAGGAAAAACGGCCACACCGGTCCTTGTTCAATTTCAGTACAGACAGATTACTGGTATTTTTTACTGTTTCAAGAACTCTGCATATAAGGATATCGTTATCTGACTAGCACGGGATATGCAGTTTTACCGCTTTATTTTGAACGAAATACTTTTGGTATTTCAATTCAAAATATGACTGGTTTGACCATTTTGACCGCTTAAAGGAAAGCGCCCAATAATTCGATGGGAATTAATCATATAATTATTATTAGAAAATCGAGTAAACGAAAAACAGTCTGTTTGTTACCGGTTTAGCTGAAATCGGGCCTTTAAAGTTTAAACTAAACTTCGTTTTTCTTATACGTATTAAATATTCGACGAACCAGCTAGACGAGCTAGTATTTCCAATCTTTAAGGTAATATAAAATGAAACAACTTTCAAAATCAACTCGCAACACAACGTTTTGAAAAAGGTTTATGCGTCGAATATGATATAATTATATGATCTAGTTTCTAACACACGGAAATTGTTTTGAGTATGATATGAAATTTGAAAGTTGATACGAAATTAATATGAAAGTTGAAAGTTTATGAACTGTTTTTATTCCACACAACATTGTTGTTGCTGATTGTAGCGTTGCAAGTTGATGTTGAAAATTGTTCCGTGCAACATATACAGGGTGAGTAAAAAAAAATGACACTTTGAAATTCAAATTAGCTGCAATGTGTCTGTAATCGGCTGTAATGAGACGGAAGTTGCCTAAAATATCTTATGGGTATACGAAGCATATCAAACAAGTGAACCCATTAATTAACCTTGAACATAAATTTTGTTCCCTTTGGGAGTTAAAATGCATTCTAAGCTCTGTAATAAAAAAGAACGTTGAATTAGTTCAATTGGTTTAAACACTTTCGCATTAATTAACCACGTCTTGTTGATTGTACACAATGGGAATCATCAAATTCCAGCCATAAGTTCGCGGCTTATTTGAATTTCAAAGGTGTCAGTTTTTTTTTACTCACCCTGTATTATACCTTTATACAACAATGTCCTGAAATAAATTGTCAATGTCTGTTTAAGGTAGATATTTTCGTAACCTTTACGTTCGACCTAATTTAAAGCAAAAAGAGGGGCAATGGGATCAATTCAAGACATTTTGGAAGCTTTCAGCTAGCTATACATACACAATTAGACGTTTTACGTACTGCACTTTTTCGTCGCATTTTACAACCAAACGACAATATATTTTTTTCCTTCGGAAATTTATCATTGATAGAGGTATAACATATCAAAATTTGAAAGGAGGTTGCCAAGGCAGTTTCCAAGTGGAAGCAGATGGGTCGAATCCCAGCATGTCTGTTTTCATTATGGACGGCGTGAAAAGGATAAAGTAGCCTAAATTAAATACCGGCCATAGCCGTTCAGTGCAAGATCTAGTGGTCCAGTGGTCAAGATGAAAGTCTCATACGTCGGCAGTCGATTTTAATGTTCTCATGCAATGACTTCCCTTTAATGTTTATGATTTATTTTAGAATATAGAATTTTAAATGAAATATTAAAATGGGAAAAATCGAATCTCGATTAAAGGCCCTGTTACACGGTGCAATGTTTCTTGCAACTTGCAATGCTATTCTTCTTTTGAGAGATGTAAATTTGGCAACTATCGAAATTTTGTCGTTACTACACTCCATGGCGTTTCACTATCATTTTGAAGCCTCTTCACTAATTTACAACTCTCAAAAGTAGAATTGCATTGCAAGTTGCAAGAGAGATTGCACCGTGTAACATGGCATGGGCCTAAGTCCCGGCAATGAAAAAAAATAGTCGAAGTTTGAGAATTCAGTGCATTTGAGTACTTTATTAAAAAATCCCCTGGGAAAATTGGAAAGGAAAAATATTTAAAAAATGCAACACAACAAAAGTCAAATAATGTATAAATGCAAATAGTATATATCACATCATTAAGAATAGCGAGGTGATTTTACATAATATGTTGTATTTTGATATGACACATGATTATAATTTTGAATAATTTTAATGCCCGAAATTACTAAAACATATAACATATAAATTAGCATTAGATTCTTCACGTAAATGAGTTGAAATCAACAATAGATCACCATTAGATTTATATAATTGACGCAATTATCGTAGGCTTGTGATTCGTTTATGAAAATACACGATATCAAAGTTAACACTAACTATAATTTACAAAGCTTGAAATAAATGTATATCCATTCCTCTTGTCTACAATACAATATGTGCATGTCTGAGGAGGAGTTCTCAGTTCTAGAAAATGAAAAATGGTACCAGCAAAGTTATTATTTCGTATAAATATCACTAAAGAAGTCTTCCTACCTATTTGGATTAGATCGCTCTATCGCGAGTATACCGGTTTACAGATTTTCGATCATATTTAGGGTAGGAAACGTTTAGCCACATTCAGAGCAAATCTCTATTTTTGACCCTACTCCCTAAGCTTTTTAACGCTAAATCAATTTGGCAAAATCAAAGATATTCCATGCAATGCCTTACAATTTCATTTTAACACAATAGATAAGATCATTTACAAAATATTATTCCCTGGTCAGTGGCATATGTGGCCACTTATTTGTCAAGCGATCCGGAGTATTACGCGATAATCACGCAAGTGGTATTTTTCAAAATCAAAGGACATGCAGATGTATAAACTACACTGTTCCTTAAAGCACCCCAAAAGCGACATAATCTGGCTGCGAATAATTTCGTGAAGAAAAATTACTTTCAGAATTTTGATTAACTTCATTTTGCATAGAGTATCATTACAAATTGCACGAATGTTTAGCCATCAGGCAGTAGCAAAATGATTTTCAACAAATTGTTTTTGTTGATGCTGTAGCAAAATGTCTATTTTCTTCAACAGATTGTTAACGCGGTAACAAAATCAATATTTTCTACAATAAATTGTTTCTTCGCCAAAGAAAAATGAATTTGCATTATGTTTAAAGAAAGTACATTTTTGTTAACTTATTTGTCGAATATCGCATTCATCCTATTAAAAATATACCTGATTGGCTTCCATAGCAATCCTTTCGTTTTTCGTATCTGCATGATCGTCAGTAATTTCCACCTCTGGCTTCCGATGAATTTCCACAGTGAAAATATAAAGATAGGCTCCAACAATTCCTCCCAGACTGCACGCTATTGGTGGAATCCACGCCCAATGATTATGTGCCCTGTAAAAGAGTTTACGTATTTAACATTTTATTGGCTCATGAGAACGAGGCTCTGAGGCCCAATGGCGTAATCACCAAGAGGGCGTAGTTATGTCTGTGTTCACACTCAATTTTGGAATAATTATGATTAATATCAGAAAGAAAGCGTTCTCTTACGTGAATACTTCACTTCCCCATCCAGCCATAGCAGTGAATATCCTAGGTCCCAGATCCCTGGCCGGGTTAATTGCGTAACCACAGTTAAATCCAAATGTCATTCCGATCAAAAATACGATAAAACCGATAATGAGTGGAGCCAGACCTGAGTTCGGTTTACTGCCATTCTTTTTGTCGATTAATGCAAATAGTAGCGCCACTAGCATTGCAGTACTGAAGAACTGTTAACAAAAATATGATGTAAATTGCTTAACGTTAACCAATTGGACTTTTCTTACAAATTATTGGTAGAGTGTGCATTGTGGTTTTATCAGTAAGTCAGTAACCACAGATATAACCTTGCGAGACAACTTTTTTGCGTTGTCCAGTGCAAGGACGTAATGATAGCAATAGTCATGTGTGAATTTTTCGTAGCACCAATTTCGTTTGAGAAACACTTTCGAAAGCAAACGAGTACACTGATATGCTAGAACTGCCAAATTGCCAAACTTATAATTGCAACCGGTTAAAATTCGTCATCCAATTACCTGGTCCCAAAAGCCAGTCATGTTGGTGACAAAATCTTTCGGATACGTTGCAAAAATTCCCGCTGTTCCTTTACTTCCAAGAACTTGTCGAGTCCCACCATCAAAATGTTCAATTGCATCTATATAATGACGTAATGATAAGGGTCATTAGCAGTCTAGTCCCCTAAATTCTAAAGTCCTCAAATGTTCAAGTGCCTTAACTCCTGTTTTCAATTTCGTAAACTCATACCCAAAGTAACAGAAGACATTGAAATACACGTATGTGCCACACATACCAAAGTATATAGCGTAGACAAACGCGGCAGATATAATTCCTCCCAGCATCTGTGATATTATGTAGATCGGAACTTTCCAGAGAGGAAACCTTTGAACGGAGGCAAACGCTAAGGTCACCGCAGGATTGATATGAGCACCTAAAATTGGAATATGAACCAATTAGCTGTTACATGCCATGCATTGGACAACCTTTTTTAAGGCAAATAATTAATCTCACAACTGCGTTTTTGTTATTTTATTCCATATTCATCCCCGTTTTTAAAGTTTATTACAATGTCAGACAAATCATATATACTTTTATTTACAAGGGTAATAAACCTTATTAAATATCAATTCAAGAATTGTACATCTACCATAGTGATAGTGCAAAATTTACCATTCATGCTATTCAAGCTATGTGCACACGAGCGTCGTTTTTGAGCGTTTTCAAACTCGTTTTCGCCTATAGTTTATCGTTTTTATGCCCTTCCACACGATCCGATGAAAAAAAATCCTCATGCGATATGTTGAATTAGCTTTAACTTCTGGCGGTGTTTGAAACCATTTTTGATACAGAAACGAAGGTAAAAACGCTCAAAAAGTCGCCGTGTTCCAAATTAATCCAGTTTTTTAGTCCCTCCCGTATGATTATCAACAGCAGATGCGAGATACTTTGTACAGGTCTCGGCGAGTCCCTTTCCAGCAAAATGCCCAAAGAGGTTTCCAATCAACAGGCCAATGAAACTGCCGACAAATGGTATTGGGATGATACACTGCCCAAGAAACATCCCTACAATACTTGAACCCGAGCGAGATGAAGCTAACAAGACTGTATCTATGACTTCCTTGATAAAGTCCTCTCTAGTTTTGATCAAATTGCCTTCATTCCACTTCTGTTTGGCTTCATAAATGCTATAGACTGCATTACCGATTTCAAAAACTAATGTGGAAGCCACGCCGAAGATTGAGCCAAGCCCTGAAAGTGAAGATTTGTAGATTTAAATCCATGTAGAATACTGTAAAATTAGATTCATGTGTGGCTAGTAGGACCTACATACATGCAGTATCAGGCCCCTATATAATCAACTTACATGTATTTATTTTGAGAATGACAGATTCAGCTAGAAACTCATATATATACGACGCTGTATCTTTTAATGTTTTCCGGTAATGCCTTATTAAAGAGCTTATTCACCCATCTTGCCAACGACGCCATCTTGAATTTTTAACTCCATTTCAGGTGATCGAGGGTGATTGAGCCCTTTTGGGCCTTAAATATGGTATCAATTTGAAGGCGAAATCACTTGTTTTTATAGTTTAACATAACAGGCAATGTTATTGAAACTAGAAGAACATAGTCAAGACGATAGGGGTGATATTTCTGAACTCAACCTAGTACTTTTCATATCTGTACGTCTTAAAGTGAGAGTGAATTGAATCATTCAAGATGGCGTCGCCATTGGTAAATAAGTGAATACGTGATTTATACTCCAAACCTGAAATGCCATCGGCTCCTTTTATGCCAATCCAATTCCCGAAGGCGGTGCGAGCAAGCTTTTTTTCCACACATTCCGTGACCACTTTCGGGACTTGTTGTAATCCTTGAAATCCTGTCCTGGCAAGCCCGCCTGCAATCTCCACGAGGGAAAGAACCATTGTGGTGGATTGAAGACTGATATTCCAATCACATAAACACCACATCACAAAGGACTCGCAATTATTTTTTGCTAAATTATAGTACTTTTCATCCTTTCTTTCTCTAGCCCGTTCAATGACCTTTTCGAAAAAAGAAAAAAATCATTAAATCAAATATTTGGATTAATTACATATACCGGAAAGTTGTATCTATAATATACCACTATTGCCAAGTAGGCAGTAGCTACGTTGTAATTTTACTTTCGTACTTTTCAGGTAATTTGAACGGTGCAATACTCAAAGATATACCGGCTTTAAGGACAAAGCAATTGTGTTTAATAAGCGTACATGCCACATTTTACATGATAAACATGTGCCCATCACAAAGTCATGCATCGGCATCAAAATTCATTTTTTTATAACGACCCTGCAACCCATCATCCTTTTTCGGGCTTAGAGTTTTTATGTTTTGCAAAGACAACCTTTACTGAAGAGGAATTCAAAGTCACAAACTTTGTTTACACACAGGCACAGACCGCACAGTACATGTTTACGCCTCTTACATATGACAAGTTTTAATTGGCGATTGCACGTGTGTATATGCACAGCAAAATTTCTATGACAAGTTTTTTCTTTGATAAGTTTTACTTGCTCGTGTGAACGAGCCAACAAGTTTACTTTGACAATTTAGTTTGCAGCCAGTGATGTAATCCTACAGCGGACAACGTAAGCGCCATTGCAAAATACTATAGTCCGCTGGCCTACCGCATACAAGTGCTCACATTATGTGCATGACAAGTTTTCTTTGTTGCCTCATACATGCAGACGAGCAAAATTTGTACTTTGACAATTTTTTCTATGACAAGTACACTTGTCACATAAAAACTTGTCATAGAAAACCTGCTCGTCTGTAAGAGGCTTTAGAAATTAATGGCTGATCGGGTAAATCCCGATTTTTTCAGAAGACGTATAATTGCATGTTTATTATTCATATGCACATTTTTTTATTCATTACATACACAGGTTTACTTTACTAAACAGCTATATGATATACAATTGAGGAGTACAAAAAGTATTTACCTCTTTCGAAGGAAAGCGTCTCAGTTCCTCAGGCCAGACAACTCTTTCGACTTCTGCTCCTTTCTCTATAAGCTCACTTTCGCTTTCGATAAAATCTTTATGCGGTAATGTAATTTCTTGAACAATGCCTAATTGTCCAAGAGCAGACCCAGAACCGAAAGAAAACGTACTAAAAGCCTGTCGAAACGCGTTGTTTGCAGTGTTAGAGTAGTGAATGATTGTTGGCCGGCTTTCTCCTTCCGATCCAGTGCAGAGAAAATGGTGGTAATACAACACCTTTCCGGAGACGGATTTTTTCTTGATCAAATGATCACCAGCGTGCATGTCTGCGAATTTGCAGATCGGTTGTCTGGCTTGTAAATGCCATTTTAGTAATTCTCTTTGCTTCTTGTCATTGAGTTCCGAGATATCTTTCCAAATGTCATCATTTAAACTGTTTCTCAGAGACATCACGAAGAACTGCGTCGATACAAAACGTCGAACCAAACTGAGAGGCCCACTGGCGGGATTTTATTCATATGTGAGCAGCGAGAGGGGTTTTCCCTTTCGTTTTAGTCCACACATTATTTTCACCGACTGAATTGTCAGTCACTATTTATATGGAGCCTGCTGAGGCATGCATGTTAGTCCATACCAAAGGAAGTGGTGTAATCGCATGTTGTTGAAAGACTGCCAAGGCCAAGGTAGATAATAATGCCAATATACCTACTGCCCGTACTGGGCTTTCCCCTGACGAGGACGTGGCAATATATTATTTATATACGTGTATGTGCACTAAAAATAGTCACGGTACTTTCGATTAAACAGTGATGAATTCTGGCAATTCTTTTTACGACAATGCACATATAGTTTATTCAAAGCAATAAATAACCTTGCTTTTTTTATTTGAGACGATACATAGCTCTAGCCTATAGATAGTTTCTCTTCATGATTTTTGATCGAAAAGCAAAGATGAATATTTTGCTCTTTACCAACTCGTTGAGAGTTCCCTGCTCAGTTATACTGCATTATGAATGGTTACTGTATTCAACTGAGCATGCAACCTTTATTCTTAAAGTTGTTTGCGTGTGTTTCTAGAAAACTAAAGGGTACTGCATTGCTTTCTTCCACGACATGACTAACCAACCAACAAATATCTCAAAGTATCTTGTTTCATTACCTTAGCCCTAGTTACCCCCATGCTGCTTTGTTGAACAAGCCATCTAATTGCAATTTTGGATTTTTCTCCAATGAATCAGATGACAAAAAACGAGGGTTCGCGTGAAGATAAGAAAGCATACTAGCAAAGATTACGGTGTATTTTGTCAACTAAATTAAGAGTTTGCCAGACTTTGCCGGGATAGAATGGAATTTCAGCTTATAAGTTTAAGTGTATTTTAAGCCCAATTCGAAATAAACTTCCAGCTGCTTGTTAGTTTCGTTTCAAAAACCACTTAAAAACCAATCATTGTTATTTTAATACACTTAATGTTTTGTGTGGGCATTACTTTGTTTTTTTTTTCTCTTCAAAGTTCATTTCAAATAGCCCTTAGTGAGGCAAAAATATTCGTGCCTATACGAACATCCAAGTTTTTTATTACAATCTATTTCAAACATTACATTGACTGCTTCCTGTAAACGAAGGCTTTGCCTTTGACAAAGCTTTTATTCACTTACTCTGCTGGTTTCATTGTTGATTTTTAACAAGGCAACTTGTTCAAACAATACCTTTTTTAATGATTTAAATAAATATTACATGCTGAGGCATGAGGCATGAATTTGTTTTTTTAACCCCTCTAGGCTCAATTCAAATACGTCTTTGAGTCAGGCAAAAAATGGTTAAACGACTATTTTAAAACGAATACGACTCCTGTCTTTTATTTACTTGGTCCTAGCATAGTTATTATGTCCTAGATACCTGTGCTTCTTTGAAGGGCGAATTTACTGCATTTTTTTCTCTCTTATATAGATATATTCACATATAAATAATGCTGATTGTAAAGATACGGATAGCGCTTTTTTCAACCGCTTTTAACCCAATGAAGTATATTTACTTGCAACGAAGTAGTTCTTTTGTATTGTACCTTTCACTTGTAACGAAATAATTTATATTTTACAGCTGGACATATGTGAATCGTTATTTTGAAAATGCTGAATGTGGACTCATTATAGTGCGCTTAGAGTGACATATACGTAAACAAAAAAATTTCCCTCTTTCTTTTGCTTCTATAGCTTACGTTATGCAAGTCCACATAATAAACAGAACATTATACACAGCTGTGGAAGGATATGGATTGTATGTTCTTGTGGCAAGAATGATATCTCGATCTTATCAATAAAATCAATAATAAAATAAAATATCAAATGAATAAAAAAGCCATATCTTTGACTTTGTGCAACCATTGATGTAATAACTTAGCATCAAATGTGGTATAACAACTGCCTAAATAGACAAAACACTTCTCGATGTTTCGACCTGAGGGCCTTCGTCAGGAGAGTTAAGGCCCACGTCGAGAAGTGTTTTGTCTATTTAGGCAGCTGTTATACCACATTTGATGCTAAGTTGTTTGAAGACGCTGCCACGCTGCTCCTTGGTTATATTGGAACTCATTTATGTAATAAGTTAATTACTGACCTGATATTGATCCGGCCCAGTAGACGCCCATCGTCACGGCCATTCCCCAAGAGAAATTGACTGATAGGAATTCACCAGCTTCACCTTCACTTAAAACAGATTGAGCCACTGAGGCATTGCCGTATACCTTAATAGAATGATGCAGTGGACAATATTTGAGTATGTTTATTTCTGCAGATACAAAAAAGTTAAAAATACAAGGCACCTAAGAAATAATTATCGGTCTAGAAAGAGAAAGACCGTGATTAAAGGAAATATTTTCACCAACGAATAGACATACGCACAGTTGGTTAGTTATGAAATTATTGCTAAGTTTAAATATACATATTCGACACACTCTTCATATAATTTAACTATTCAATATTTTTTCCGAGTTGAATGCGTTCGAATTACTTGCGGACCACTGCTAATACGGTTTTTAAACCGTTACATCGATTTTGTGTCCTAAATTATTGCAGTCTCAAATGTTACAAAAAAGAGCTACAGTTATCTCGCTTGAGCTTGTAACGCCTAATCTTTGGTGCTATGGCATGTCCGTGACGTCCGCGCGAGAAACGATCCCAGGACGATTTCGGTTTGTTCGAAGACTTCGTGCCGCCCACGCGTGATTTTCGTAAACTCGCGACAAAAAAAGGAAAAACCGAGCGCGTTTTTCAACTCGCTCTAACTACGGTAGCCCGAGGAAAAATGATGCTAAATTTGCTAAATTCGCGAAAAAAGCATGGGTACTAGTGAGCTAATAAGGCCCCATTTACACTATAGCGTTTCACTGTGCAATAAACCTTTCTTATAATGACGTCAAACGGGGAAAGTCTGACATTACACAAAATTTGATTGGCTCCACAAAACTATGAAGCCAAGCAAACTTCGTGTAACACGATACTTCCCGCGTTTGACGTCATTATAAGAAAGACCCATTATTTAACAACTGACATTTACGTATTGTAATCATGCAAAATCTCACCAAAAGTATGAAGGTTCCCATGAATTCAGCCAAAGCCTCTCGCACCCATTCTGGAGTATTTAGCCTCAATTTTCTCAGAACAATAGGCAAATCACTGAAAAAGAAAAGCAGTACCACATGAAATAGCTGAGGCGTATTTGACACTGTTTGATGCAGAAATGTTTTCCCTGAGTGGGAGATTTTCGATGTTTTAGAGCCTACCTTCAATCGCTCATTTTATTAAGAGAGTACGTTCTGACTGATCAGTAATTCAGTCAGATTTTAAGTTTCTATGTTACCTTAAATAAGTCTGAGTATGAGTAAGGCAGTAAGCTTATAGAATATACAGTCGTGATGGAATGACATACACAATTTTGCAAACGCGTTTTAAAACAAACCACTCGTACGGGCAAAATATCGAGCTTTCGGCATTTACTGCTTGTTATATTGGACATAAATATACAAGCCCAATATTGAACGCAATGATATGCGCAGTTCAAATTTATTTCACCTATAAATTTAGTACAATTGTTAGAACCCTCTTTCTAATTACTGGCTGCAATTACTTGTAATTGTTCCAATACATTTTAACAACTGCGTAAAAGCTAAGCATCAGAATTACAAAGGCGATGTTACATAATTCATTGCATCCTTTGAGGCTCACGTTGGTTTTGGAAATTATGTTCAATTACAGTTTTGACTTTTGAGAGCCCAAAGTTTTCGTAAAATGAGCATTTTACGAACTCCAAAATGTGTCGCCATTTATATTCGTACTTGATCTGTCAAAATTTCAGTAATAAACTAACTCTCGAGATACCTTTTTTTAAAAGAGTTGAAACCGCTCTGGATGTTTTATTCGGCGTAACGTAATAATGATTTTAAACACAATAACGTTATTTACAGACTAGATGCTGAATTTAACGACAGTTTTAAGGACGAAATTTCGATCGCGCAAAAAATATACCTACAGCAGAACGATGATAAGAAATCAGGCATTTATATAAGTGCACAGGAATGTCCTACATTCATGGCGCTCACATTGCATTGCCCCCGGAAAAATTTAAAAACTTTGATAACCCATGCATTTACTGCCTGGCTAAGTACGATCGATGGCAAAGGCCGTAGCAGATTTTCCACGTTTGACATCATTATAAGAAAGGTCTATTGTATCTCTTATGTGGGCACAACAAACCACTCAGTTATGGTTTGCAACTCGGCGATGACATTTCAGAACCACATTATTCATTAATCTTATTTTTTTGCCGCTGGGCACATTAAAAAAGTTGCAGCAAAAATATGCGGTCATTTGATATCTCCTCATAACACGTATAATCTGATCATTCTCATTTGCTCATCTTTTTTTTCTTTCAATAGCGATTCTTTCGTATAAGGATATTAATTAAATCATGGATTCCAAATCGTACGGATATATGACAGATTGGACAAATCCTCTTTACACTTTAGGCTTAAGTCAATATTCGCAGCGCAGAACCATCGAGCATATTGGAAATTCGCAATAATAGACCTTTATTACACAAATATTTGGATTTAATAAAGTGCAAAGCCCATATACCGTTTTTGCATATGTCAAAATATTTTGTTAGCATGCCTATATGATGTCTACAAGAATACAATAATAATATTTTATGACATATTTAAACCGTTTCAAAGCAGCATTCATATTACAACTATAGAATTACAATACGTCCATGATCTTTATGCATTATATCAGTTGAGGCAGTGTTGCACTCCGCCTAGATAAAATCGATATGCATAATATAGTTATTAAAATAATATATTACGCAGACAGCTTATATCATAACTTTTAGTTCAAGAACGATTTATATATCAGTTATTCATTTTATGAAAAGCCGATTTAATGGTGTTTTAATAAAAACTACAATGAATAAACCGTTTGTGTTTTGCTATAATGACTTGCATGTTGAACTCTTCGCTGCTGGAGCAAAAACATGCACCATGCAGGCATAGCACAAATATTTCATGCGTACGGTGCGTATAATAAACTATTCTAAGTGTAAGTATGGTACGAACTTTATTTCCAAACATGGAAAATTCTTCCGCTGATGTTTATTATATAATCTTAACACTTATCTGTCGTCAGGTTGGTTCATAGCAGGTCATTTAACGTTACAAATTAGTACGCACCTTTTAACATCATAGCCACAGTATGATACGAGACTGAGTACTGACAGCATCTGCATAAGCAACTATATGACCAGATAGCTGTAGCTTAAGTCTTTTTGTTCCCATTAGCTTCAACGCGTAAAATTTCAGCTTTTCTAATATGCGTATTGCGTATTAACTATCTACAGGAAATATCACCGGTATATGTATACCGATTAACGACTGATACTATATAGTGGCAGTAGTGCTGTTACTGCTGTAGTAAGACCGGGTTCCGGTTTACACTGTCATATTTTCTGTGATCAGGTTGGAATTTTCAAACAACAAATCCTAAGTTTGTTGAAAATACTGGAGGGAACTGTAACACTAATTAACATTAAGTTAGTTCATCCTAATACTCAGTACACATTTAACAATGCAAAATTGCAACTATGATCACAGAGACTTTGACAGTGTAAACCGAGCCTAAGGTAAACCTTGACAGAAAATGGCCTAGCAAGGCTCGAACACGCTGTTTTAAAAGCTTCAACACCCATGAGCAGTTATGCGGCTACGCATTCCTCGTCATCGCTTGCACTTAACCGAGGGTTCAATTCAAAACAACGCGCAACCCTGTGAATTTAGGACACTGTGTGTTTCAAATAGACCCTGAAGTACAAGTGTACGCCTGACTGGAGCCTTTTTGAAAAGGAATGCTTCGAGTAAATGAAATGTTCTGTGTACTTTTACTATCCATATATTATACCATTTATAGAACTGGCATGCATCTGTCTCTTACTTTTGCCTTTTCCTTGCGACTTGAGCTGATGGTCGAAGCAACGCCGGCATTTCGGAATTTTCCGCCATTTTTCAGCCGTGTTTATTTACACTGGCTTTGCAAGGAATTTGCTGATAATTTATATAACCCTCTATCAATTTCAGGCAGTTCTCGGCACCCCGCGCGTGCAACACAATGTATACAGTGTCATATGATATGTTAACACAATATCATGACAAGAAGAGGTGAAATATTTAGAATGAACTATCGGAGTATTAAATATTAATGGCGGGCTCAGATCAGGGGATAAGAGCTTGCTTCCGTACCGTGCAACCTCGTGTCCCTTCGAAACATTTTTGCCATTTGAAGACTTCTAAGCAGGCATCGGCCATGGACATGCATAAAGAAACAGCTTTATATGAGAAAGTGTTGCCTTCTTGAGCGGTTGGCCATGTTTTGTACGAGCTGGTTGGTCGTGTGGAAACGACTTCATAGTCCACCATAGTGAAAATGTACAGGGTGACTCAGAAAAAACGAGAACTACTGTAATAGAGTTTGAATGCCTAAGCACCATGTTGGGACTCACAGTGTTTTTATTAATAATAGTATACAATTATGGATAACAATATTTAAATTCATGTCTCATGGCCCTCTTGGGCATGCCCCTTACTCTAACAAATTTAAAATTTTTCATATTTAGCATCTTGAAAGTTGCCTTAAATCCCCACGGACAAAAATTCGCGAACAGGGCATTCATTCAAATCTTAACAATGACTGGTTTTATTGGTTTCCAGAGGCACCCTGCATGTAGGCCACCTGCAATTAGGCCACCAAATTATCAGTACGCCTCCTCTGTGAGTGTCAGATATAGCAGGTAATTGGATATAGCTGAGTTACTGAGAAAAAGTTCTTAATCTCCTCGGCGATACAAAAAAATAAATCGTAAAAAAATTTTATAATCAACGTAATCACATATTTATAACACAACGTTTCCTTCTTAACATTGCTTGAAATCCCTAGAGGAAGGTCGAATACTTGCAATTTCGAGTATTCAGTATTCAGCTGCGATAATCATTCCAGTTATAAGAATATGTTTCAGAAACATTTCTAATTTTCATCTAATGCTTTCTCCTAATTTATAAGGGAAAAGTTGTAAAATTCTCTTGAGGTAAAATAACTTGAAAAGAACTTTAAAATCAGGAGATTTCTCTCTTTAAATTGATTACTGTTTTTTCAGTTTACTGATGAAGTCTGGAAGCTTCGCAGTAATAAAATTACGTGGTCTATACGTAGAAACTAATAATTATATATAATTTTATTATGTATGTACTTTGTTTTCATACTTAAATTCATTCACCTCAGAGAACCTTATCCTGTTTTCGCTCTAACATTTATTCATTTTCATTAGCAATATAATTAATTCATTTAAGAGTCCACGTAGTATACCCGTAATACTCGAAAGTTAACCTTACCTCGGAGTGGGGTCAACTAATAAAGGTATATTGACTTTGTCATGATCTTGACTACATTCGAGCATTGCGGAAGTACCTTCCAAGCGTTGCAGTGAGTCCATTTCAGCGACAAGTCATAAATGATTCTAAAAAATATCCCTTCAGCAGGACCCAAGTCTAATATTACAGTTTGTGTTTTCCCTTGGGCTTGAACACAGACTAGCATTCGCGGTCAGGATATAAGCGATTGTGTGCAGCCAGTTGGCTCATAAATGATAGTGATGTTAATAATCAATGAATGATGGTAGAACGAACTACTAGTTATTCGCTCTCTCGTCTGGCTAGCTCGAAGAATCAGAATTACCAATTTTTATTATACAAATCTTGTTATTTATCTGCGTCTTGAATGCCCCAGCTTCCGTATACAGGAACTTTAGTATTGGAAAGCATAAAAGTTGCATTCAGTTCCGCGCGCTCTCAAACCACTGATCTCTATAATGTTGCTGAATGCAACTTCATGCTCTTCACAAAATGCGCTTGGATACATGCAGCATGGCTGGTCGTATTTGCATTCTTTCCCCGAAATAACGCGGTAAAATTTCTAACAAACCCTGCATTAACCCCTAGAATAACTATCAAACCATCTCAAGCGAAATGATTTGTCACTTTGATACCAACGACTTTAGCAACAGCCTTATAGAATTACCATACACCGTGCAGTCCGTGCTTTATGCCACTAAATAAACTAAAAAGGCTTAAGGCGCGTTATGAATTCACCATGAAAACTTTAAGGAATGTATCATCGGCTATTTACGCTTTGCAGATTTTAATTGTGGGGGATTACTGTGAAACAAAGGCAGGGCTAATATAAAACTTTGAGTTTATATTTGTTTTAGGTGGAACCTGTCACTTGGTCGTACTCGTACGATTGGTTTTGAAAGCATTCGTATCCAGCGTAAAACATTAGAGACTTAGAGTGTCCTATATACACTCAAACGAACATACACGCGAGTCTCCAATTCAGCTCATATTTCAATACAGAACTCAATATACAGAAGCGCTGCGCGATTAAAATGTTTAGTGCCTCCCATAATTTGCTATGTTCAAGTATCCTTTATTTCGTTTTATTTAGGTAATACTTGCTTGTGTTTAGTGTCTGAGCAAACATCAAACATGCACAAACTTTTCACGGAGATGCGATCCAAATAGATTTCACTGAAAAACAAATTGTTTCGTGTATCAATATTGAAGCCTTGAGGTTCCGATTTCGAACTTGATTAAAATGAAATGAACTCTTATACACCTGCATGCCGACGAAGCTGGTATACACGGTGGTTTGTAGTAATATGTTAGTTCAGTTGATGTGTATGCTGTCCGCCTAGTAAAACAATGAATAAGCCTTCCCGCTGGGTGGCATGGGTTGTGACAGCTAACGGCTGCATGAAAGCAAATGAGATGCTCCCAATTAGCTGGATATCAAATCCTCATGGCGCGCTAGTTTGCCAGAGTTTGGATAATTGGATAGTATAACTTTTACTACAGATTGATTACAACACGACCTTTCATTGTTAAAGCATGATACAAGACTTTGTAGTTAATGAGAATCGTGAAATTTAAGAACCACTTGGATAACAACACATCGTATATAGAAATCATAGAATACAATTTGAGATAACGAAGAAATCTGTAGGTAAACTAATAAAATATCAGCTTCTTGAACTGAAATGATCCTGTAACTCACTCGATTATCTTTTAGCGTGTTCACAATCAAGTACCCGATTGCATGTTGCGCTTTGGGAGGCATAAGACAAAATAAAGCCAGCTTTTTTTAATCTAATTTGTTTTCTGTATACACAGTGGGCCGTGGCTACTTGACTTTGTGCGACAAGTGCATGATTATCGGCAAAAAAACAGAATTCGCAATTTTATTAACTGGTGCGTGGTGTAGGTTTTGAGGTGAAACCTATTATTTGGAGACACACGGCGAAATTACAACGCAGTGGATCAAAGAATAAATATCGATGGTTTCTAGATTTCAATAACAAGGAATATATTCCTACCTCATTTCGACTGCCTTTCTGTGATGAAACTCCTGTGAACGTTTTCCCAGCAAATCAATTAATTCAAATTACGGGCAACCTTGACTTGTCGGAGTGATGTCAAGTCTGCGCAAGATGTCATCTGTTATCGAATTAATAACTTCTGTTGACAATCTGCGCATTGTGATAACATCCCAGTTAAGACAAGATCTCAACAATTCGCAATACATGGTAAAAAACAATGGTATCAAATTACTCAAATTTACGAAAACACTTTGGCATTTCCCGGGAAAACTTTAATAAAATTGCCGATGTGGTGCCAAATTTGACCAACCGAACATCACCGGGGAATGTCAAATGTAAGAAGAATGACATTTTTGCGCCTAGTTATGCGTAAATAACATTCAGAATCCCACTACAAGGCAGGTGTATTCCTTCATTATACTGTCAATATATTGTCGTAATATAATCGTCGAACATAAAGTGTTTGTCATGCAGTAATCGGAAAAAGTGTCATTTCTTTACGTACTGCGGTAAATGCTGGATTGCTCGCAGTTCAAGACGACGATTTCAAAAGAAAGCGAACGAGGAAAAATGATCGCGCGACACATTTTGCACTTGAACGATTAACTTTTTTTATCATAAACATCTCGGAGCTGTGAAAATCTCTCGAAAAAACTATCTTTAGAGCGTGAAATCACCTGCGTCATATGAACTAGAAAAGGCTGCGTTTGTCCTTTGCGTCATCGCGAAACCACAAAGGTTCAGAGGTGAACAATTCAAAATAGGAATTTATGCAGGATGTTCCATAAAAAGTCAGTCCTCCCCTTAAGGAAAGCTTTTGTTTGAATTTGGTGCTTGATTACTCTGCTAAAGCCTATACCTTGTATAAGTTTCTGCTCGGAAATAGCCTATATTAAGGTGGCATTCGTTCATCCGAATTTCAAAGCCAGATTTCCATATTTGAAATATATATCCTAATGCTTTCGACGTTCTCCGGTTTTAAGAGATTTATCTAACGAACCTTCGATGACCAGACTGCATTCTTGGACAGGCTTTATAGTGATGTCGAAAGCTTCTTATAGATAAATCAAGCTATATACATATTAAAATGCTATACGTTGATTGAGTGATTCGGTACTGATTCCTGATTGGGCCCCTACCACATTGTAAATTAAAATATACATGCACGCTTTAAAACTGGTTTTTATTTAGTGAATTTGTCAAGATGGTTGATGTATTAGAATACAGCATCGTTCCCGAGTTTTTATTTAGAGTATTGCTGTGTGTTTGCAGTGAACAATGACAATTTACATACAGGGGGATCCGCTAGTTAACTCAGGAATACACGACTCTGATTGGCCAATTCTGCTCTTAACTACAGTTAATAGTTAACCAGTCTTTTATACAACTGGCCTCCTAGCTGAGGAATAAAAAAAAATTTCCAATTGGACTATTTCACATCGGTGAAAGGTGCATGGCGTGTTTGTGACAATTACGAAAAAAACCTAGACTTATAAGACTATAGCATTTTGAAGACTGTATTTGGTTTGGGATGACGTAAGTATAGCTATAATCGGACTTGCTGCTGGCAGGAGTGTTAGCCCGCGAACAAGAATAAGCGATAATATACTAAAACATTTTGCACGGTTGGCAACCATCAGTGAACAATTATCAAAATAATTCTTAGTCAGACGGCAATATCTAGCATGTTTATCTTTTCTAGCAACGATAAATTTGATTTACGAATTAAATAACAATATTGTATAATTATGCAATTTCAAAACCGAAAGTTATATCGCTTGACTCTGCACACTTATATACATGCATGCCTGTCATTGGTAACTTCAAAATATACTAAAGCCGAAGGGAACGACGTTTCTTTTCGCCAGTTAAAACAGATGTTGTTAGATCGAAATACTGATATCGTCGAAAATAGAACGAGAATATGGTGCTTTTTCGTGTGTTTGTCGCTATCGCCTTATTTCCTTATTGTCTTGAGACCTCTACTAATAGCATCAACACATGCATGTTTTTTACGAAACCATTCAGCGATAATATATATAGGAAATGTGTTAAAATTGACATTATTTACATTAACATTCACCTGGGTATTATTGCCATCATCCCGAATTTCATGCCGAACGATGTCGATGTTGTTGATAATTCATCTACAATCTACGCGAATACCTTCAAACACCTTCGAACGTTCATGTTACGTCACTTGAATACTAAAACCTCGGTTCATTAGGCTTAGGAAATTAGTTCTGTGAAAAAATATTACTCCTATGTGGAAAATGCTGTTTAATTATAGCTATACCTCTTAGTCTTAGGTTGGTATTTAGGTAAAAATATTTTTCCTCTGTCTCAGAATTTCTACACGGTAATAACTGACATACACCATTCGTTTGTCACGAAGTGGGAGGTCTGGTTATTATCATCAACGGTTTGCTGCATGGCTTGATAATCTCTTTCGCATGCTGAGAACAATGCCGAGTGTTATTCTTTAAGATAATAAATATATGGCGCCCACTATTGTCACATAAGTACTCGTGATGATAATTAAAATAGACCATTCCAGATAAGCCGGGCTAAATTGTTATTCCTGCAACTTGTGCATGCTCCAGGCAAGATCAATCGTTTTTATGCAAAAACTGCGTTCCTGCCAGAAGCTAATTTGCAATCAACCAGAACAGCGTGAGTTTACTTCCGATGAGGAATATAGTACCATTTATATTTCATGCCATAAACAAAGGAGCAGTAAATCAATCAAGGCTTTTTTTTTAACATATAGACTTCGGACCAGGACGACCGACCCCCCCCCCCCCACCCCCAACTCCAGATGTTGGTCCTCCAGAG